TTAAAATATTTAATTAAAATAAAAAATTATAAATTATGAATTTTAAAATGTGATTAAAATGTATAATTATATTCTTTAAAAAAGAAAATGACAAATTGCGTGCTAACGGAAATAAAAATAATAGACAAAATTAAAGATATAATTTAATAGTCGAAGGCTTATTGACTTTCATTTGCTTGATGTGCTTTTTCGAAATGCTGAAAAGATATTACTACTAAGGTAGTATAGTTCCATTGAAATCCTATTTTTTTTTTTTTTTATTTTTAGATCTACTAAAAAAATTATTAAAATATTATTTTTTGTTCTACCATTAAAATTTGCATAATACAAACATGGCCGTGTTAAACAACGTGGAAGATTGAAGAGGTTTGTCTTGGTGAATGTGTTTGGACATCGGAGGAAATTCTCGCAGCAGCAAGAAGTGATGGCGAAGGCAACAGATAGAAGGAGGAGGGAAGTGAGAGCGGTAATAAGTGAAGGTTTTTTGCGGTAGTAATGAGAGAAGGTTAAGATATAAACATGGCTGTGTTTGAACACATGTCATTATTTGACCAGGTGATTGTTTGAATACAAGGGTGTTTTACATAACAAGGTCGTGTTGTATTCAAATCAACGTCATTTCAACTTACGTCAATAAATAATTTTTTGAATAGTCTACTTTTGATTAATTTTTTTGAGTGGGACTAAAAATAAAAAATAAAATGGATTTTGGGACTACTTTTGATTTTTGCTCTTTTATTTATTTATTATTATTACTTTTTTCTTTTAGTATGCGTTGATATTGTGGCCCGAAACGATTTAGGTTTAACTCATTGTCCGACCCGATCCAACCGACAACATGATCCGTAATTCAGATCCTACATTTTTTTTTTATAAATTTTGAACTTTGGATAATATACTATAAATTCGAATCAATTTAAAATGTAATATATTAATATATTTTATTATATGTATTTAAATTTTTATGATACAGGGGTTGAAGTGAGCTCCTTGAACATGGTACAATAAGATTGATGTATATTTTCAACAAAATAGACTCATAAAAAAATAAAAAAAAAAGTAAAAATAGTCCAGTAAAGAATACCCTAGTAGAAGTTCTAGGATTGACAATAGGTCCAGGTAGACCCGAGACCCGACCCATTTATTTTGAGGTTGGGTTCAATTATTCAGGTATTGAGTCCGGGTCTGGGTCGGGTATTGTGTATCCTTGTCGGGTCCGGGTCGAGTCTCGGGTCCAGGGTAGACTCTACCTGTACCCGGACCCGATTAATATATTAATTATATATAAAAAAATTAATTTTTAATACTATAAATTATATTAAAAATATGTTTTTAGTTATATATATATTTTTATTATTTTTGAATAAAATATATAAATTTTAATATATGTCGGATCTGGATCTGAGTTCGGATCCAATTTAAGTTAAAATTTAAGAATTAAAAAAAATTCGGGTCTTATCGAGTATTGTTCGGGTCGAATTCAGATCTCGGGTTCAACCATGTGTGTTTGGGTCGGGTCTCGGGTCCGGCTGGACCCGACCCATTGCCATCCTAAGTAGAACTGGTGCGTGGGATAAACTTCCTACCATAAGGTCAGTGAGACATGCACACATTCTTTGAACTATGAAGTATTTGATACTATAAAATTTTGAATTTTAGGTCACGAACAAGTTCAACAATATTTTTTGGGTGTAATTTTTAGGTTTATGAACCCCTTCAAAGTTACATTTTGGAGTTGCAAAGTGGATTATCCGCTACATTGTTGGAACTACAGAGTATATTATTTGTACTTTAAAATTCTAATTTTAGTTTACAAAGAGCGACCAGACGAGTTTTTTTATTTCGATAACGTGGGAATCCGCACCCGCTACCAGAAAGTGCACACCGGGTAAACCTCAGGCCCAAGATTAGACAAGTTCTTTGAATGATAGGTGGAGTATTTCAGCAAATTTATTCACTCTCAGGATTGGAGTCAAATTTTATCACTAGTTTTACTGTTTTATTTTATTTATCTTAAAAAATATCAAATCAAACACTTAATTTTTTTATTTATTATATTACATTAAAATTTAATTTATTATATTTGATGTGATATTTTTTGAAAAATAAATAATGCAAAATGAATAAAAATGTGTTGGGTAAACAAAGATCTCTCAAATTGTATAGTGCTTGTAAATTTTCCAAAATACAATATATATCTAAGTTGTGTAACTTAATAAAACATTTATTTATTTTCAACTTCCGCACTAACTCAAATAGAAATATTATCTCCGTCTGGCTCTAATGGTCTCATTTACCTTTTGCGTTATTGTACTTAAAAATATATTTATATTTGTATAATATTTTGCACAAATGTCATTATAATAGTATTATAAGACACTAATAGAAGTATTTTTGTCATTTTCCCTTAATTTGTATTATGTTTTTATATAATAATTAATATTCAAAGATCAACATACAAAATATAAACAGGATCCTTAGAGTCGGAGAGATGTAGCATTATTTTAATAAAAAAAATTATGCCCAAAATTTAACCAAACGCACCATTGTAAACAAAATAATACAAATATTCTGTTGATTTTTTTGTCCAAATTGGTCCATCCCATTTTATAATACAAAACACACTCATTCAGCAGCCCAATATACCTTGGCCCTGGCCCATTCTATAGGTCTGCGACCCGAGCCCACGCCTAGACCCGCAACCCTTGCCTCAACCCGGTTCCCTGAACCGCTGCTCCAACCCGACTCTAGGATCCATATTTTTTTGAAAGGTTTCATCTCCTCCTTTGGATCTAGGTCTTGCATATGAGCCGTTCATCATATTAAACTCTATTTATATATTTAGTGAGAGCATTCATTCGACTTTGACACTTTCTCTCTCGAGAACTATTTCCCTCTCTAGCTTCTTCTCTCACTCATGACCCCTGTTCGGCTATTTTTTCCGGTGGTTCTACGGCAATGCCTTCCTCATGTTTGTGTGTAGTTTTTTGGTGTGATACTCCCTCTGTTTGTGTTGTTCGTAGCCGAAAGGGGCTCGTTCAACTTATTAGGTGTGTGATTTTGTTTTTATTGCCTTATATCTTTTTTGTGAGGGTATTTTTCGGTCTGTAGTGTGGATTTTGGGCCGATGCTGTTGTGATCATCGTTGTTTGAGTGTGTTTATGTCTATTTTTGAATTTTCGAGTTGGTTTGAGACTGAGCTTACAAAATCCAAAACTAATTTAATATTTTTACTCTCGTTAATAAAATCTTGGTTCCGTTCATATATTTAATAATATATTCCTTTCCCACGTTGAACATTCTTAATAATTGGATTCCACGTTCATAAATTTATTTATTTATTTAAACTATTATTATTGTTATTATTATCATTATTATTATAACGAGGAGTTTTATTAAAGTGTGTTTGGTACAAAATGAAAACATATCAATCATTTTATCTTATATTTTGGGTTAGAAAAGTTAAACTTTACGAATAAATTATTTTTATTTTTCTCGTATAGAAATGCATATTGATTATTGAGAAATTATTGAGAAATGCAGTGTGTTTATTCAAGATATTTTTTATTATTTATTATTTTGGTTTTTTTTGTTTTTAATTATACTTTTCCAATTTTACGAAATATCATATTTATTTTATTATTCAAATATTTAATTTTTTTATTTTAAATTATATGAATTTAATTTTACAAAATATGACATTTAATTTATTATTCAAACAAAAAAACTCACAAACTATATTTCTATATAAATTCCCACACACTGAAATCATCCTATAGGATTAATTATTTTCTTTCAAACGATTCATCAAATCGCTAAATTTCTTTAATAATTTTCGATTGAATAGTCAATTTCACTATAGTTCTCGTTTTCTGCTGAATTTCTTTTATTTATAATTCTTTTTGTTATCCCAATTTGTTTGCAATTTCATTCACTACATTAAAGACATTCTTTAAAATATCTATTCTTAAAATATACATTGAATAAACAACTCAAACAAACATAATAACTTGCAAATAAAATTATAACAAACGAAGCCAAAAAATTTCAAAGAGTAAGAACTAACCCTTAAGGGGCTTATGAAGACGGCGCCGATTGGACTTGGAATCAACAATTCGGGCATCGGCTATGAATCGAGTTTGAATCGATTGAATTTGTTCCAACATTTAGATTTACAAAATTGATCGAACAAGAAGTCTTCTTCTCCTTGCCTTTAATTGATTTAAGGCGTGCTTGTTTGGTCTCGATTTAATTTTCAGTTTATATCTTTAATCTCTTATTTTATTATACTAATTTTAATTTTCGATTTGGTATTATTAATTTGAATTTATTTTTATTAATTAAATTATATTTATTTTTATAAAGTATTATATGGTAAAGTCCATCTATTTGTTATATTAATTCATAACTCTTTAAAATTAAATTATTGTTTCATACAAAAAGTTGCCTCATTTATAAATTATTGTTACATTCAAGACTTTTTTAATCAAAATAGTCAAAGTATTTATCATGTATAATATATTGTTTTTTTTTTAATAAATAATACTCCTATATTATATAAATTTCATTAAAAAAATTATCATAAAAAATTCTATTTCTAGCTATATGTTTAAAATTATTTTTTTTCTTTTTTTTACTAAAAAATATATTAATTTATTTGTTTAGTTTTTTAATTTAATTTAATTTAATTTTTTTAATGTCAAATAAAAAGAATAAAAATACTAAAAATATATGTATTCAAAATTATATTGAAAAAAATTATTGGACAAACAAATATTTATATTTATTTAGATCAGATAGATACTTTATATATATTTTTTTACTAATTTTTAAACTAATAAAAATTAGAAATATTTCCTAAAAACATATCAGATTTATTTGTTTAGTATATTTATTTGATTTTTATTTTTTTATTTTATGTAAGTATAGAAAATAATTTTAATAATAATAATAATAATAATAGTAATACTTAATAGAGTAATTGAAAGAGAAGAAAATATATCTCTACAGAAGTGGGTACAACTCATCCAATGGCGGCCCTCTCTCTCCTCCTCGCTGTATATTCTCTCTCTCTCTAAAAATTGAATCCGCGTGCCGAAGATTTCCTACTCAGGAAGGAAGGAAGGGAGAAGAAGAAGGGAACGTGGAGGAAGCGAGAGGGGAGGAGATCTTTGGCTGAATTACTGGTTCTCTCGTTTCTCGAAATCCACCAGATTTCAATTACCCCCAAAAATGAACGACCTTTTGACGGTGAGTGCTGCTGTTGTCTTATCTTATAGATGTTTAATTATGTTGATCTGCTTAGAAGAGTTCCGAATTAGATTTAGCAATCGTTTATTTTCCGTGTATTGACTGTGAATGCTGCAGCTGGATTCTTACCCTTTGTGCTGCGATTGTAGTTGCTTTTCACTGTTGAGATTGCTTCTTAGTGTGAGCTGGGGTTTTGAATGAATTTGTTGTTTCGATTTATGTGAGAATATCTCCATGATCTGCTGTTTTGAATTTCGATTTTGTAAACAGTGTCAGTCAGTAGATCATTTACATTACCTATTTGTGAACTGTATGAATGCTAAGCGTCTACGAGTTAAAGTCCTTGATCATAGTTGGAAACTTGATGAAATATCACAGATTTGTAGATTGGTTTTCGTAAGGCTTGAAGGTGGGATGAATTTGTTTTGAATCACTAATTTCAATCGAATACGTTGGATGCCTTCCATTGATATAAGGAATATCTGATTTATTAGAGCCATTCTGGATTTGTCTATCTAATGCAAATGATTCAGTACATTTGTTGACCGCGTTTTCGTTTAACTAGAGATTAATAAAGGGATGTTGTGATCATCTATCTTTTCAATAATCGACAATTCTGGCAAGCTAAAAAGATGAATTCAAAGGTAGCTGACTTGAATTGATGAGGCAGGATTTTTCTTGCAAACGCATAGCGAGGAACGTATAACTCTTTGTTTGCAGAAAGGATAATTCGAGTTATGTGTTGACATGGTTCTATTTCATTTTTTAAACTTAGGGTGAATGTTCCGGCTGTGGAACTAGGATTTTATATTATGCAAAGGTCTACCATACAGCACACATGTCCATTTTATATTTTAATTTACTGTAGATTTTGTTTCCAACAATTTCACGGGTTAAAGAAAAGCAGTTACATGCCAATGGTCTTATTTGGGGATCTATTGGTATGAGTTAATGATACTCAGTGTAGAAGAATGGAAAATACTGTTTGTTAAGAGAATAGTGTAAATTTATATTAGAAAACAATGGGTTTGTTTGGTTTGCATTTCGAACCAATTTTTTTTTACTATTCAACCTGTACGGTTCCAATAAACTTACAATATTTCTCCCTCACAATCAAAACTCAAATAAAAAGCTCAAACTCAAATTAAATATTTTATTCCTACTTTGCCTTGAAACTTGTTGTGCATGCCGTTAGCTTATTCTGATTGTTTTCTGCTTGGGTCATATATGGACAAACTGGAGGAATAACAGAATCCAGAAATGACGTGAACCTGCCTTTTGGGACTGCTTATGTTGTGATTTAACCTTTTTATTTTTATCTTTTGTAATACTAAGAAGTACGATTTTATCCCATTTTATTAAATTTATGCGCCCCTTTTTCAGGATTCCTTTGTGTCCGGGCGGGATCAAGGTGGTAGAAATGGTGATATTGAAATGGGAACAGGAATGGAGAGACAAACGCCTTCAGCAGAAACTGGTTTGGAAGATTTCTTTAAGCAGGTAGCTCCAACTTGATACATAATGATTCTGTTATGTTTGTGAAGAGGATTTGTTACATCAGCTTTTAATTTTTAATTGACTTAATTCTTATTCTTATTGCCAGGTCCAGGAGATTGAGAAACAATATGAAAAACTCAATACTCTGCTGCGAAAGCTTCAGGTTCATGTTTACTTGTATTTTTTATAGTGAAGTCGTTTGGCTTGGATGGGGATGAACTTTTTTTTTACTTCTCTTTCTTTCTTTTTTTTTTTTTGTTTAGTGTCAGAAAACACAATGCCAAATAATAGCAAGAGTTATTAATCATTAATTCATTTCAGTATTGAAAACTTTCTGTAGCTTGTGCTTTCTACAGGACTTAGACATGCTTTTCTTGGCTGTTTGGTCCAAGGAGTCAGATGTGTTTTTCTGCTTCAAAATTTTGATCATATTTTCATCCAAAAATATTCTCTTGTCTCCAAATAATGCATTTAATGATAGGATTCTGACTCCAAAACAACCTTCAAGAATTTTATAGTAGCATCAACGCTTAATCTTCGCAATATCATAACTACCTTTTCCATTCTAAAAGAACTCTGGAATTGGAAGAGCTTGCGTCTATTTGGCTATTTGCACTCAAGTTTTTTTATTTTTATTTATTTTAACTTCATACTAATTTTCTTGTAATGCACGAGGCAACTGCTGAGTTATTGGCTAAATGTGGTCAGTCAAATAATGTTGTTTCCTCGTTTGGTGTGAAGTCTCCACTTAAATATTGAAGCTTGGAAAATTTCTCTAATGCAATTGTGTGTACCATTCTTTATGCAGGATGCTCATGAGGAGTCAAAGTCTGTTACCAAGGCTGCTGCTATGAAAGGTAGCCTATTTCTGTTTAACTAAAACTGCCATGGCCTGTTTATGGAGATGTCTGATTTTCATTATTTTTGAAGTCTAACTTGGTAACATATACATAATAGCTAAGGAACTTATTACTATTGAAAAAGAAGTTGAATCCTAGATTAGTGCTTATAAATTAACTCCCTTCTTTAATTTTCCTTTTTCATTTTTCAAATGTCTTTCTGTGGGTCTTATTCATTGTTACAGTGCCATAGACTTTCATACTTTTGAATTCAGTCTTACTTGAAATAAAAATTTCAACACAACAGCAATCAAGAAGCGAATGGAGAAGGATGTTGATGAAGTTGGAAAAATTGCCCGTTCCATTAAATCAAAGATTGAGGAACTTGATAAAGAGGTATGGAAATATGTTGCATGTCATTGTTAACATTTGTGTATTCAGATATCGTGTGGTATTGATCTATACCTTTACTGCTCTAGAATTTAGCCAATAGACAGAAGCCTGGATGTGGAAAAGGATCAGGTGTAGATCGATCTAGAACAGCAACGACAGTGTAAGTTACTTGACTTTATAGCTTTACTATTTGTTTCTCTTACACCTTTGATTTATTCTTGTGTTTTGTATCACCGGAAGGTAATGTTAGGGAGTCATCATAATAGTTTTCTCTCTCTCAAGAATATGATCCCTTGACATCACTTCTATCATATGCTTGATTGAGTGCGTACACCATTAGTAGGTCATTAGTCTAGTTAGACATAGATGAAGGAGAGGAACCATGAAAAAGATTGATAGAGTTGAAAATTCAATAAGCTTTTTTTCATTCACGATTTGTTGTTATACGTTCCTCGTCAATCCTTTTGTTTGAAAACTATTTTAGCTATGTTGTACACTATTAACAAAATAAACACTTCATCAAATACACACTTACTCTTTAGTTCTGTGGTGTTAGATTAAATTCTTAATTGGTTTGCAGATCTTTATCTTAATTTATTAGCCAACATCACTTGCCCTTCCTGCCATTGTTTAGGATGTCTGAAAATGATATAATATTGAGGATGAACCAATTATGTGATAATATCATGTCGGTTGTTATTTTGACGACGACATAACTCTGAAGAAGAGAAATCTTATTTGAAAGGACTTGAACACAAGAAAGACAAGAATTTCTTTATGTACTATAGGGATATTCTCCCCATCTCAAGCCGAAGGCCGAGGTGAAGAACTGCTTCTGATGATCCATATTAAATCCTGCTGACTGCTATTTAAAAGGAACTCTACCGAACTCTTAAGGAGAATAGTATTAATCATAGATATTTTTTGTCCCAACTTGATTCATATTTTTAATCAGCCTTAGTCCTAATGGGCTTAGTGCTGATAACCTACAACCCAACGTTTTCCGGCTGTTTTGATAACAATGTAATGTTAGCTTCACTTTCTTATTTCCATTGTAGAAACCATTGTTGAGAGTCTCACTTGCAATATATAATGCTGGAGTCTTTATTTGAAAATTTTTTTGATGTGTTAGTGGTGGGTATTATTAGGTTATGCCTGTCTGTGCACCATTGATACACAATCATGTCATTTTTACGTATTGAATACCGATCTAAAATTGCCCATTCTCCATATCTAGTAACAGCTCGATGTGGTGAACAAAACAACCTTGATAAAATAATTTGTGTTTGAATGCAGGAATTTGAAGAAGAAGTTCAAAGACAGGATGTCTGATTTTCAGGTAGATCAGCTGCTTGCTACGAGTGTGTAAATTTTCTCGTACATTTCTCAATTCCCTTCTCATTTGTAGACTTTAAGAGAGAATATACATCAAGAGTATCGTGAGGTTGTCGAGAGGCGTGTATTCACAGGTATTAACATTATATTTCGAAAATGCTGCATTGCGCACCTGCAGCTTTGCTTTTAATGATTTGACATATTCCTTGTTTTGTTTTCAGTGACGGGCAATCGAGCTGATGAGGAGGTGAATCCAATCTCCTTTTTAAGTTTTAGTTAATAATTATTTATATATATGCATTATTTAAATTCTTATCTATATGTCCACAGACAATTGATAAATTAATCGAGACAGGCGATAGTGAGCAGATTTTCCAGAATGCTATCCGAGAGCAAGGCCGAGGGCAGGTGTAGCCACATGTCCTAATCTTTTCTATATTTCTTTTACTTCTTTATTCTACATTTTATTCTCTATGATCTGTGGGTTTACTAATGTAAAGGTAATAGTAGTCTGGAGTCTGGACATTCGACTATGCTAGATTTGTGCCATCTTATATTGATGTGTAATGGTCTTTCATTTTATATAATTTTTGTTTACAGGTAATGGACACTTTGGCAGAAATTCAAGAGCGGCATGATGCCGTTAAAGATTTGGAAAAGAAGCTTCTAGAATTGCAACAGGTGTGTTAATTATATTCTTGCTGATGGCTTCGGAATAAATTGCAGCGTAGTAGGACGTATAAAGTAAGTCATACATGATATCGATTAAATTAAAATTTGAAATTTAATAAGAGGTTTGGCAATTGATTGATTAGAATATGTTTATTTCATTTGGTTAGTTTCTCTGTAAGAAGTTCAATTTTTATGACATTAGCAACAACTTTATTAAATCATTTAAAAAGCCCATTACTCATGCAAAGATTCATGTACAGCCAGGAATAATCTCGACTCTCATTCTTTCCCCATTTCATTGTTGAACACAGATCTTCATGGACATGGCTGTGCTGGTGGATGCTCAAGGCGATATGCTCGACAACATAGAGTCGCAGGTAAAATTATACTCCCCTCCTGCTAACAATAAATATCTGTATGTTGATTGAGAAATAATAGTAATTTATGTATGATAGTGTGTGAGCAAAGATTTAAATGCCCTCAGGTTGTAAGGTTCCCACATAATTTGTAATAAAATAAGAAAAACGAGAGGATATTTTGGTATTTTTAGATTAAATCATTGTATATTTTATTAATATTAATAAGAAAAAATTTCCCTATTATCTGTTACCTCATGAGTGTTTTTTCGAAATATTTTCCCAGGTTTCGTCTGCTGTGGACCACGTACAAACTGGTAACACGGCTCTGCAGAAGGCCAAAAGCTTGCAAAGGAACTCCCGGAAATGGATGTGCATAGCCATCATCATCCTTCTCATCATTGTGGCAATCATTGTCGTGGGCGTACTCAAGCCATGGCAGAACAAGAACGGCGCTTAAGTAATTACCACCCTCAATGTATAAAATACAAAACTAAGGTTTGTCAATCGGAACTAGTTTCTTCCCTGCCGGCTATTCTTCAAACTATTATTCTTTCCTACTCTGTGTGCTTTGGAGACTTTGGGGCGATGTTTTCGCTCCCACTTTTGTTGATTGGTATGTGAGCCTTTTTTTTTTTTTTTCCGAGCATATTGTGTGATTTATATGGTGTACAAACTACACTCATTCGAGGCTTTACCGTATATGTATAAATATACTATATTACTCTTTCTTGAGGACTCTTTGCCTACGACTCGGTTTTAAATTCAAATTTGTATTCGATGCTTTCATAACCTGAATGTGTGCCTTTGCTAGACTTCTTGCTATTCATGGATTGCTCTTTGCTATATACTCTCTCCGTCCAGATAGAAAATATACATATTTTGTATATATTCAATATATTTTGTATGTATTTTAGCCAAAAAGGTGATTCAAATTATGAAAATTGCCTTTTTATTGGTATTGTTGCTGCAAGAGTTTAAGAAAATTTCCAAACATACCCTAGTACTTGAACTTTTTGAACAACCAATCAGCTTTCTTATTTTATTTTATTTGATAATAGTTCAGCAAATTGCATATGAGTTTTGAGTAATAGTGGATTGAGTGATTTGATTTTGTGTAATAGTTGTTTCGATGCAATGTTTTATGGAAATAAATTGTTGAATTAAAAAATTCAATTGTAGAGTAAATATAATTATTTGGTTATTTGTCAGATTAAACCTATTAAGTAATTTGAGATATTAGGATTGTGATCTCAGGTCTATCGTAACATTCATTATTTTTCATATCTCATCGTGGAAGTAATGACAAAAATTGATGAATAAGCTTGAATGATAGACTTGAAGAACACAATGAGGTTGGAATCAACTTAGGGTGTGTTTGTTTGGGGGTTTGGATTTTGGATTGGGATTTGAATAGTAAAAATTTTGAATTTGAATAGTTGTATGATGTGATATAAATAGGGTTTGATGTGATGTTTTGAATGTAAAATTGATTTTTAGTATAATATAAAAAATAAAAAATAGGTGTTTGATTTGATGTTTTTGGGGGGAAAAAATTGGATGAATAGTGGAAATCCTCCAAAATCCTTCAAACAAACACACCCTAAATTTATTTGCTTTATTTTTCCATCCCAACAATTTAACACAGTTTAGAGTTTAATTCATAATAAGTTCCAACAGAAATATTATATTCTATTGAAAATTGGGTATAATCTCTTATAATTATTACTACGAGAATAATGTAACTTCAATGTAAACTCAACATTCGATCAACTAAAAACTAATGTCCATTAATGGGAATTCAAAGGTAACTATCGGAAATATTAACTTGGGGAGCGGTGAGGCACTCCTTTTTCGCCTACGTATTCATTTAGATGTTCTAGACATTGAAGATTGCTCCGAACTTGATTCCTGAATTCCATGTGCCCACACAAGCAGTTGTACATTGTTCCTAAACTGAAAAATTAAAATTTTAAAAACATTAGCAATTGAGCATGGATTCAATAATCAATCAAACATTTACTTTAAAATTTAATGTAGTCGAAATAATTAAGTAAAAGTGAAGCACAATGTTAGTCACCATATATATATACAATGGAGTAGATACAAAGGCAAATATGATCAAGTGTGTATTGTGCATGTTTTGGTGAAACCTACGTGGATTTTATGTACAATTGAAATAACAAGTTTGTGATTATTTTTTTTTTTTCAAACAATTGTTCTATCTACAACCAATTAAATTTTGCAATTATTTGCAAAAATGTTTCATAGTTTTTTTTTTTTTTTATGTGGTCGTGTTTTGAATTTTTAAATCCCTAAAACACTATTCATTATCGCAACCAACATTATATAAAAGAGAATAAATTTGATATGATGATAGAAATTACTTTGAATGCTTCAACATACCAAATATCTTCGTCGCTTTTTGTGAGTTTACTCCGATATTGTATACAAATATTGTTTTCTTCAACAAATGCATCGGATTTGGCGTGTGGAAGGGGATTTAATAATAACGCTAAGCTTTTATTACACTTATAAACCTACGGTTAATAGTAGGTGAGTATTGATAACTAAGAATGAAATTGTAATTTTTTAAAAATGGAGTTTAGAATATATTAATTAATTTAATTATGAAATTATGTAAATTTTGGCACTAAACATTGTTATGACATAACTAAACACACATTTGTAAAGTAAACATGACATTAACATGAAGTACTATTATGTACCTTAATTTTCGAACAATAAATGTGTCTCGCTTCATCCACTCGAAGGATGACAATGTTACGGAGATGCTTGCGAATTGGGAGGACATCATGTCCCGAGTGAAAACCCGATCCAATGCAATACGGCGAGCCAAGGCATAACATTCTATGCAATATCGTTTTAATTGATTGGTATAATGTTGATGTATTGCACATATAGGAAATTATAAAAATGCCTTTATCATAAGCTTTGAAAGCCATTTTGGCATGCTATCGGTGTCGTGTTGTTAGTTGCATTGGGAAATGGCGCTATTGATTTTGGACCGATGACTCGCTCCTTTTTCACTATTTTTTTCGTTTTGATGGTCTAGGCATTGAAGATTGTGTTGCATTTTGATTCTCGAAATTCAAAAGGAGTCCGCCCATGGAGTTGTACATTGTCGGTCCGCAAAAGATTATGAAAGTGAAATAAATAATTTTTCAACATCGAGCATGTATTCAAATAACTATATATTCGAACACATATTTAAAACTAATTGTAGTCCTAATAAGTAAAAAAAAATGCACAAATGTTAGTAGTTTTAAAAGGGAATAGATACAAAGGCAAGTAAAACATACACTACAAAAAAATAGTATATTTGTAACGGAATTTTGTCCCTAAAGTTCACGTAGCTAAGGTAATTTTATCCCTAATTCCGTCTCTAATGTCATTAGTAACAAAAAAATTGAATTTATGGACAAAAAAATTTTGTTACAAAAATGATATTTTCTTGTAGTGATAAGTGTGTCTTTTGACTAAATTGGTGAAACATAAGTGCACAAGTGTGTCTTTTGAATGAATTGGTGAAACATAAGTGCATTTTTTGTACAATTGAATTAAAAAATTTGCGATTTTTTTTTTTTCGAAATATTGTTCTTCTATTTATGCAAATTAAAATTTTTAATAAAATATAAAATTGTTTCATAATTATTTTACGATTGTATATAAACTTAAAAAAAACTCTAAAACACAATTCATTATCACAGTCAACACTGTGAAAATAGAAAAAAATTAAATTTTAATATGACCATAGAGATTATTTGAAATGCAGTCAAAGAGAGGGTGCTAACAAGATTGAAAGTAACGTTACCTTGCGAGCAATTCTGCAAAACAAAACATGTTTATCGAAGTTTTCTTCTGTAGGCACACTAAGCTTTCATTGCAATTAATAGTAGTTAGAGATGGCATACCGTACCGTACTGAAAATACCGAGATACTGTACCAAACTTTTCGGTATGACGAAAATACATACTGGTACCGTACCGAAAATTCGGTATATTGAAATTTTCGGTATGGTACCGGTATATACCGTTTATAACGAAAATTTTAATTTCGGTACGATACCGGTATATACCTCTTATACCGAAAATTTTGATTTAGGTAGATACTGGTATATATCGATTATACTGAAAATATAATTGTAAATTTCAAAATAATTAAAAAAATTAATAAATATCACCCTTCTCCGCCACAAAAATATTATGAAAAAATCAATAAAATTTCAATAGTTTACATATTTTTTGTTATGATTTTTAAAAAAATTAATAATTAGTATTATTTTTTAAATAATTAAATAATTTAACAAAAATAATATCGGTACGGTATCATACTGAAATACCGAACTCTCCGAAAATTCATACCGATACCGTACCGAAAACTTCGGTACGACCGGAATTTTCGGTATTTTCGATGCAGTACGGTACGATAAATCGGTATTTGTAAATTTCTCCATCCCTAATAGTAGTAGAGTACTGATAATAAAGTCTTGCGGAATTTAGGAAATCACGAACAATCAAGAAAGTAAACAAGAATGTTAAGATTTGGTGAACTCGGTCAAAATGATCTATGTCGAAGGCGGCTAAATTACGTATCTTCACTAGTATTTTCATGCGTGTAACAAAGATAATATACAAAAAACATAAAAAATAGATCAAAATTCTAGCACGCAGCCCAATAAATTATACGGAAAACTTGAGAAGTTGGATGTACATTTCTCACTTCAACTTGGCTTTACAATAAATACATCATAGAATAAAATTTTGATTTACTATTAAAATGAAGTTTATAATATATGACATAATTTTATTCTAAAATAATACTCCAATTTAGCACTAAACATGTTAAGTATTCCAGTTTTCGGATATGTCACTTCGACCCAATCTAATCCCAAAATAAAATCAAAACTCTTATTTAAATTAAATCTCAAATTTTGCCATACCTAACCCGTATATGATATAATGTTGAACCTCAAATTTAAATAGTTTTAAGCTACAAAAGCAAATTAAAATTGATACCACTAAAATTTTAAACAACTTGTCTGAGTTACACAATATAGTATAAACAAATGCACTACATTTTATCCATTGTTTGTTGTCTTTAAACTATACTCAACATTAAATAAATAAGATCTAAAATTTGAAGAAAAAGAATATTTAGAAGCTTTCACGTGGGTTTTCGATGAAACTAATATTTTTGTTTCATATTTTAAAGTTTATTTATTTTAAAGACAAAGAATAAAAATTAATGGCACCTGCTTATGTGTCGACACATGTAAGTTTCAGCGTTAAACGTCCTTGCCATGCGTGCAAATATCTGTGTAGACATATATAAATTTTTGGAGACTCTTGAAAATTTGAAAGTTTGGAAAAAAGTAAATATTTAATATTTAATTTGATGTTTTGTGAGAGAAAAAATTGTATTTGATGTGATGTTTGTTTAAAAATAAATAGTGTTCAAATGAGTAAAAGTTGGTTATGTAAACGAAGCCTGATTCTGCTACACTTTTGAAGTTGTTGGACTAACCATGGACAAGTTATTTATAGTTCTAAAGTGATAAAGGAGTTATGTAGAGGATAAAAAAAATGTTTACCCAATTAATTTTGGCATGGAGAAGAGTTCCAAACCACTTGCAATTAAAATAGCTTATCACTTCAAGGTTTCAACTTTGATGTCGGGACTTTATGTACTTTAATCCTCAAAGTGATGCCACAAATAAAATATTAATCTTAATAGGAATGAGAGAAGCTTTAATAAATTGAGCCAACAACTTGGTGAACAATAACTTGTCAGATCTAATCTGTTCATCTATAGAAAAGTTTTTTCAATTTTAGTGCAAATATATTTCCATAGCAGTTGTGGATTTCTATTTTCTTCAACAGCCTTGTAAGAATTCAGATATGGCTGTAGCTGCTTATGCATCTTTGGTTTCTCTTACTCATGTACTCGACAATGTTCATTACCGAGCCCAGCTTCGTCACTTTCACGTGGACATAGAACACATTGAAACTTTACAGGAAAGTGTCAACTCTTTGTTGAAATTTGTTGAAGTTCACTCAGCAAAAGAAGGCGAAAGAATCGATGGCTTGTGGAGGCAAATACCTAAGGTTGCCTTTGAAGCGGAAGAAGTATTTGATTTTCATGTAGTGAATCAACTTCAGCTCCGATCCGAGGTAGTAAAAGCTGATTTGGGCCTTTCAGCTTTCAATGAAGATATCGATGGAGCGATCCAAAAGTTTGACTTCATTATGAAAGAGTTGTTCGTGGAGGAAGATGCGCCGAAGGATTTTCAATTTGGAAAACAACCGAAAGTTTTTGAGCTTGGTGGCACTTCGGTTGAGGGAGCTTCATTGACTACTCCATCCCGTGGAAAGAATACAATTGTAGGATTTGATGGTCATGTCGATGCAATTGTTGATTTGCTGACTAGAGATGAGCCGACACTCCAAATTATCCCTATTGTGGGGATGGGCGGTATTGGTAAGACTACTCTAGCTAAAGCCGTTTTTGATAGCCAACATATTGCTGATCGCTTTGATAGACGCATTTGGCTAACAATATCACAAGGGTATACTGTTGAGGACATCTTATCGGGTCTTTTAAATGATGGAAAAGTTACAACACATGATGGAAATTCTGGTAGATTAAGGGATGCTTTGTACAAAGAATTATTTGGTAGACCGTATTTGATTGTTATGGATGATGTGTGGAGTGAGCAAGCTTGGGTTGATTTACGAATGTGTTTTCCTGATAACAATAATAGAAGTCGGGTTATGATGACTACTCGGCTTGCAAATGTGGCTGGGTCTTTGAGCTCTCACAACTCTTATCCGATGACTTTTCTAGATAAGAATGAAAGTTGGAATTTATTTTGTCAGACGATCTTTGCAAATGAAGATTTCCCATACCCAGAACTGGAAAAGTTTGGAAGAAAGATTGTGGAGAGTTGTAAAGGGCTTCCATTAGAAATTATTGTAATCGGCGGCCTACTAGCAAAGTCCGACATGTCTAGAGAATATTGGAAGTCTGTTGCGGACAATGTTAGCTCCTACGCTAATTTTGAAGGTGGCGAATATTGCCTGAAGATATTGTCCTTAAGTTATAACAATTTGCCGATCCACCTTAAGCCGTGTTTCCTTTTTGTGAGTCATTATCCTGAAGATTGGGAGATCGATGCCGCGGAATTAATTGAGAAGTGGATTGCTAATGGATTGATAAGAGCGACGAATGGCAAAAGTCTGGAGGTCACTGCTACAGAATACTTGGAAGATCTTAGTGTCAGGAATCTAGTTTTTATGCACAAATCAAGAACTGATGATGGAAAGAAAATTTGCGGCATTCATGATCTGTTAAGAGACCTGTGCCTAAGAGAATTCGCTAAGGCGCAGTTCATTCGGTCACCAAGGGTGCAAGACATTTATAGGCTAGGAAAACAACAGTGTTTTCTTTGTTCGCGGCCAACTAGCTATGAAAATGTAATAGATGTCCCGGAATTTGTTCTTTTATCCCCATCACAGGCATCACCCCTAAGTCCTCCAACCATTTGTGGTGCTTGCAAAATGATGTATTCACATGTTACACGTGGAAGGTTGGTCGAGATAATGAGTCGAGGCAATGATCACTTAGATTTTTTGCATCCTACTCAAGTACGATATCTTTCTGTTTACACTGATATAGAGTTGATACCTATATTGTCAAATCTACGCTTACTCTGGAATCTTCAGATTCTAAAGCTATTTTTGCAATGTCGGGCAGTTTTCCCCGATGAAATTTGGGAAATGCCACAGCTCAGGCATTTGAATGTCACTAATGACGACGGGGCTATTTTGCCGGATCCTCCGGTGGCTACTCATGTTAGGGGGGAAGGAACCATTATTCTCCAACAGCTGCAGTCCCTTTCGGAAATATGGAATTTCAAGTGCACAAAGGATGTCTTGGACAGAATTCCCGACATAAAGACACTAGAAATTCGATATGCTTATGGCGTTGAAGAAAGTATTGGATCATCAGAGTATTCTCTTTGTAATCTTGTCCAACTCAAGAATCTCCAGTCTCTAAAAATATCAGGGGCTCCGGAAAATATTGCATTTCCGAATTCTCTTAAGGAGTTGTATCTGATTGTTTGCATATTCGCAATTCCTTGGAGTAGTATGTCGATCATTGGCTCATTGCCGTATCTTGAGAAACTTGAATTGTATTATGCCACTAAAGAGACTGAATGGAATCCAGTTGTGGGTGAATTTCTTCGATTGAAAGAATTGAGCATTGAGGATAGAGATCTACTGCAATGGAGAGCTGATAAGGAACATTTCCCTACTCTCGAACGTCTTCAGCTTTGGCTTCTAAGATCATTGGAAGAAATCCCTTTAGGCATTGGAGATATTCCAACGTTACGTAGAATTGAATTGAGTGAATGCAGTGGATCTGCTATGGAGTCGGCATACCAAATATGGGAGGAACAACAAAGCATCGAAAATGATACCATTGAGATTCTCGTCAAGAGCGAGCACCAATGGTGCTCCATCAGTGATTTCGTATCACAACTGAGAGAAGATGATGACTCTAAATGAGACGATGAAAATGAAGGAATTATTGTAAGGAACCATCTATAATTCTTGTGATCATTCTCTTTCGTCTTTTTGGTATGCTCACGATCACACGCCGGATTTTCCGATTATGTTTCATTCGCCTCTGGGAATTAAGTTGCAACTGTGAACCGAAATTCATGATTTTTTTAACAACAATATTTTATTCTATTCGATCAGCAAAAGACAAGTGATTAACTCGAAATATTTTTTGAAACCTCTTTATATGTGTTATTGTAGCAATAACATGTTAGAAGCATGAAAAATAGAAAATAATTTTTCCATCATATCACATTCAATATATGAGAGAGAGAGATACAAGATTGAGGGAAGTGAATTACTTTTCATTCAAAGTAAAAATTTTGAATTTGGATATTTGTATGACGTGATAAAAATAAAATAGGTGTTGATGTGATGTTTTGAATGTAAAATTGATTTTTAGTATAATATAAAAAAAAATAAATGTTTGATTTGATATTTTTGGAAAAAAAAATAGGATGAACAATGTATTTAAAATTCAATTCCCAAACAAACAGTATATGTTGAACTAAGAAAAAAATTACTAAGATATAATTATATATACATATATTTAGAATCATAATAAATATTAGTTAAATTTCAACCAACAAAATAATTGAATGAATTTTTTAACATTTATATATTGAATAATAAAAAAATTGTGCTAAATATTACAGAAAATTATAAAAAATATCCCATATATGTGTAAACAATTTTAATCCAAGCAAAATATATCCTAGACGTGCCACAATTCGCTATTTCAATACTATGGCTTATGCATGAGTTTCACAACTTGCCAAATTCATGCGCTACTATCATTGAATGACACGTGTCACAATATTGTATAATATAAAATATGTATGAGATATTTTTACCGAAATTGTGATATGTCTAAAATATATTTTGTTAGGGGTCCATGAAGTACAAGTGAGTGGCATCTGGGAGTGTGATAGAAATTTATGTGCGATCAATGTACATAAACAACCAAATTGTGACACGTGCATGATATATGTTGTTAGAATATAATTAAAAGACAAGAGTGATAATTGAATATAGATACATAATATTTTTTGCAATTTTCCCTATAAAAGATATAAAATTTTAAATAAATAATTTTTTTCACACATAAATATATAAATTTTAGATAGGTGCTAGTAATATATATTATAGTAGTAATGATATATATTGTATTGATCGATTAAGCCCATGAAATATATATTTATATATTTATGTCTTATGATAATTTTTATAATTTTATATGTTTATATTCTAATTTAATAAGTCGTAATGGTTTATAATCTTAGTCTTGAAAATTATGAATTACTACTACTTTACATAAATTACAACTATGAAAAATCATGAGATCAAATTAATAATAAATAAGTATAGAATGCAAGAAATATAATAGGCACTTTCTTTTGTATCTACTTTTACGCTATGCTATTTTTAGTATGCATATTTTTATGTTAAAAATGTCAAATTCATCATCTCTATTTTCTTGTAATATCAAATTTAAAATTTATTTTTCATAGGGTATATTTTTTAAACATAACAAATTAATTATTGATAAAATGGACTATTTTAATGTGTGTTTTGAATTGTGTTGTGATGTTTTAAATTTCATATTTTGAGATGAAAATAGTTAATTTATGTAATATTTTGAATGAAAAATATAGATTGAATATGATATATATATTCTTTTTAATAAGAGTACTTAAAGAGTTGGAAAATAAGTTTCAAAAGATAAGTAAACAAACCCTTATTAATCCATTAATTTTAATTAGCCATTTTGGATTTGTTTAATGTTCTTGGCTAGATCAATTCAATAAATGATACCGACCTTGAACATAAAATGATAATAATGAAATTTCTATATAATTATTTAGTTTGATCAATTAGTCATATGTTACTCATATATAAAATATTTTTTAATTTATAAAATAATAAATTTATTTTTATTTTATTACAAAAGAACAAACTAAAAGTATATTAATGACTATATATATTGGAATTATTTTTGTAAATTTTAAAAATAAAAAAATATAATTACTTATTAAAAAAACTCAACACTTGAAATTTGTATTTCAAAGATTTTTATATTATATATATATTTAAAATATTAATTAAAAAACCCCAATAGAATATGGGAGGGGTGGCTGGGGCAAGGGCCCCTTATGCCTATGTAAGTCCGCCTGTGGTCATACTTATTTTTGCCCGCTACAGAAAGCGAACTTGCACATTTTTCTCAAATCTTTAATTGAGTAGTTGAGAGTTCGAAAACTTGGAATTCTATATCTATTATTTGGAGAATCGCATTTAAAATCAAGGTGATGTCTCGTTTTTCATCCACTATCATTTTCACACTTCTCTCTTTCGATAGATTGTTGATGCTATTATGATTTGGTTTTAACTACATTTGAGTGAACTACTTTCTTTTTTTGATGTACTTAGGTTTGGTTCAATGATAAAATCTATGTTTGGGAAAAATCTCAAAATTCATTCTCTTTTCATTATCCCTTAGAAAATTCAGTCGTATGATAGTCTTAATCTATAATAAATTTATAAAATACTTTTTTATTTCTTTATATAAAGCAAACCATGCACATATCTCAAATCTAGAATTAGGTAGTTAAGAATCAAGAGATTTCACATTCTATATATATTATTTGGAGAGCCGAATAGGAACTCAAGGCGACCTTACTTTCTTATTCTATTCTCATATATATTCTTTTTCTTTTCTCTCTTAATATATTTTTGATGTTATTACTCATTTAGCTTTAGTTGCAATTAGATAGGATTTAGTTTTATGAAACACTCTAGGTTCTTTCGATACACTCGAGGTTTGTAAAAACTCAGCATTATTTTCTCATTTTGGTAATATGATTGTGGAATTCCATTCATGATTCATAACTAAGTGATATCATACATATTTCTTTTCTCTACGGAATTGAGTAATCGGGAAATAAGATATTTCAGATACATTATTTAAAGAGTGGCATCGAAACACAAGGTTATATTTTCTTTTACAATCTATTCTTATATGTGTTCTTATTTCTCCTTTGATACATTGTTGATATTGCTGTTTATTCAATTTTGAGCTACAATTAATATGGATATAAGTTTTAGATGATCTCGAGGTTTCTTTGATATACTCAAGGTTGGACAAAAATTCAAAATTATTTTGAAGAATAGAGTAGTTGATAGTGTTATTCATTCAATTTTTAGCTACAATTCAAGTAGATCTGAGTTTTCGATGTACTCGAGGATGGAGAAAAACTCAAAATTATTTTGAAGAATTGCGCAGTTGAGAATTCAATGCATTGTTGATATTGGTATTAATATATTTTTTTCGCTTCGATTCAATTGGATCTAAAGGTTCAATATACTTATGATTTTTTCAATTTACTCGAGGTTGGACAAAAATCAAAACTAATTCGGAGAAGTGAGTAGTCGCGAATTCAAAGATTCAACATTTTACATCTAAGATTTGGAGAGTGACATTAAAACACAAGGTTATGTTTATTTTTCGATCTATTGTTATATGCATTCTTATTTCTCCTTTGATTCATTGTTGATATTGTTATTCATTCAGTTTTTAACTACGATTCTAATGGATGTAAATTATTGATATAGTCGAGGCTGGACAAAAACTTGAAATTATTTTGGAGAATGGAGTAGTCGAGAATTCAATTCATTGTTGATATTGTTACTCATTAAATTTTATCTACCATTTAACTAGATCTGAGTTTTCGATGTACTCGAGGATGGAGTAAAACTCAAAATCATTTGGAGGAATTGAGTGATCGAGAATTCAATAAATTGTTGATATTGGTATTAACTTAGTTTTTAGCTCTGATTCAATTGGATCTAAGTTTGGATATGCTTGAGATTTTTTCGATTTACTCGAGGTTGGACCAAACTCAAAATTATTTCGGAGAATTGAGTAGTCGAGAATTTAGAGATTTAGAGACTTGAGTTTTCAATATACTTGAGGTTGGAGAAAAGCTCAAAATTCTTTCGGAGAATTGAGTAGTCGAGAGTTCAATACATTGTTGATATTGGTATTAATTTAGTTTATAGCTACGATTCAATTGGATCTAAGTTTCAACATACTTGAGATGTTTTCAATTTACTCGATTTTGGACAAAACTCAAAATTATTTTGGGGAATTGAGTAGTCGAGAATTTAGAGATTTCACATTTTACATCCATTCTTTGGAGAGTGACATCAAAATACAAGGTTATGTTTCTTATTCGATCTATTCTTATATGCATTGTTATTTATCCTTTTATTCAATACATTGTTTATATTGTTATTCATTCAATTTTCAGCTACAATTCAACTAGATCTGAGTTTTCGATATATAGTCAAGGATGGAGAAAAACTCAAAATTATTTCGAATAATTGAGTAGTGAAGAATTCAATATATTGTTGGTATTGGAATAAATTTATTTTTAGCTATGATTCAATTGGATCTAAGTTTCGATATACTTGAGATTTTGCATTTCACATCCATTATTTGTAGAGTGACATCTAAACACAAGTTATATTTCTCTTTTGATCTAGTCTTATATGCATTCTTATTTCTCCTTGCTTTGCTTCATTGTTGATATTGTTGATCATTCAGTTTTTAACTACGATTCAAGTTGATATAAATTTTTGATATAATCGAGGCTGGACAAAACTATATAGTATTTTTTTTTTTTTTCTCTTTGTAGAATTGTGTAGTCTAATTATTGATGTGTAGGGTTCTCAAATCTTAATTGAGTAGTCAAGAATTCAAAGTTTTCATATTATAAAAACATATTATTTAAAGAGTAGATATAGATTTAAGTCGATGTTTCTTTTTCACTCTATATATTTTAATATTTTGTCTCTTCCTCTCTTTTGATACATTGTTAATTGTTATTCATTTAGTTTTTTGATATACTTATGTTATTTCGGTATACTTGAAATATAACAAAAATCTAAAACTATTTCTCTCGTTCTCTGTAAGATGATTTTGTTGTATGTTATTCATAATTTAATTTAAAATTATAAAAATTGTTTTATTCATGTTTCTTAAATCGATAAATAAGTAGTCAATAATTCAAAGATTCTCATTTTACATCGATTATTTGGAGCATTCTCAAGATGATGTTTCATTTTTAATATATATTTATATATGTTCTCCTTTTCTCTTATGATGTTGTTATTTATCTACTTTTATTGTATTAGATCTAGTTTTTCCATTTGTATATATACATTTAAGATTATTTCAATACACTCCAAGTTGGACTAAAACTCAAAATCATTTGCCAAATTTAAAACAAAATTGGTGAAGATGGAAAATCCTTTATAAGAAACAAGATCGTAAAAATAAAGTAAGGATTTCATGAATTGTTGTTCTCATTTTATATATATCTAACGTTTGTGAAATTTATTACATGTACGACAGTTTTCTTGAAGCAAATTTGAAACCTGAAGAATTCCAAATTTTACAAAACTGTAAGTATTTAGTTTGGTATATTTATTTTTCTTTGCAATTTCTTAAAATAGTGACCATGCATTTGCTTTTGATGATTGGTACATTTATCATACATTGCTTTCTTTTTTCTAAGTTTGAAAAAACTAATTTACCTAATAATTATCAGATGGTGATAATAAAAAAACTTATGTAATAATTATCATTAAATTTATTACATCAAATCAATAGTTGTGGTGTATTTATTTGCGTTTTGAGGTATTTTTTGCTACTTTAAAAATATTAACAAAATTTGAATTGAAAATAAGTATTATATGTGATATTTAAGAAAAAATAAAATAGTATTCGATGATGATGTTTTCTAGAGGAAAAACTTATTTAATATCTAGAAAAGTAACCAAAAAATAAAACAAACACAATATTGCTCTCTTGATTTCAATCATTTCGTATAATAAAGACTGCTTTTTTTTTTTTTTTTCTTGCTTTTTCTTGACTTTGTAATCACTTCTGAATTAGAACATATGTTCATCGGTTATAAAACAATGACAATTATTTTGCATTTATTCTGGTGATATGTCTTGAAAGATCATCCTTATGTTTGATTTCTTTGCTTATGAAAAATTGGTCCCAATTTCTGAAATTAGAACCGAGAAGAAGGGTTTAAGGAAACCTTAATCTTTATTCGAGAGGCATATCATCTTTTTGAAAATGTCACCATTGGTAAGTATGAGGGAGTTTCTACATAGAAAGACAACGCTTGACGATAATTACATATTGTTTTGATGTATTTATGAAATTTTGTTAAAATAGCAAACTATTTATATTTGATAGATGAATTTTCAGGTGTGTTTACTTGTGATGGTTTTATATTCATGTTTTAGATCTCTACGGTTTCGAGAGTAAAATAATTTTAAAATTATATTTGAAGACACAAGTAAATATTGATGATGGTATTGAAATTTTATATACTTAATGAGTATATTTTTCTCTTTTCCGGTCATATAATTTTTTAAATGTCCGTCTCTATTTAACATGAAGTCTCTATTTTATTTTTCTCTCTATAAAACGGACTTTTTATGTTTCTTAAATCTATTATTGAGTGCGTATCATGATATTTCAAATTCTACATGTATATCTTGGAGAGTATGATATAATTTAAGGTGATTATTTTTACAAGCTATTTTTAGATTATTTTTTGTTTTTCATTGATACATTTTTGTTGTTGTTGTTATTCAATTACTTTTTGCTATGCTTCAGTTAGATCTAGTTTGATGATATCCATAAGGCTATTGATTTTTGGTACATTAGAGATTTAACAAAAAAGTCAAATCAATGATATCGCCAAAATAAAGAAAATATTTTATAAATTTTTATTGTCGTTTTTATCAACTCGATACTAGTGAAAAATATTATATTTTTTGCAGTATTGATCTTGACGCAGGTTTGAAGGCAAGAGAAAGACATAACAAATTCCTGTCATTTGCCCAAATTTCAATTTCTACATAATGGTAAGATTTATTATTTTATTTTTAATATTTATTTTTCTTTACAGTTTCTTAAATTAGTATTGCTTTTGATGAATTTAGGTTGGCTTTAGTAATAAGTATCATTGCATTTTGATTCATTTTGCTTAATCGTTAAATTAAAAAAAAAAAATCTAATTATTATTATAATTTGTTTGAAAAATGTCATATAATAACATCATATATATATATACAATTAGGTTCTTTCTGTTTTAGGGGAACCCTACTCTCCTATATGATACACATTTGAACATTTTAAATATATTTTTTACAAATGGGAATTATTTTTTCTAAAGAACCTCATTCTTCTTACATATGTGTTGGTTGTAGAAAAGAATAAAAAGAGAGAGAGAGAGAGAACATTTTATGTATTTTTAAGAATTTTGTTGTTGATTATTTGGTGTGATTAAAAAATATTAAGTTACTGATTAGTTTTTAAATAATGTTACAAAGTGTTGGGTACAAATCCAAGTCCCTCATTGAAAATTAGAAGAAAACATCAACACCTTATAAATTTACATATAAATCCATTATTATGAGACTTTTTTTTAAAGAAGTTTAAAAACAAATTCGTATGAACTCAATCCAAAGAAGATAATGATGATTTTTTTATTTCTAGAGTTCTTTTGGTATTCTACCATTGGGTTCATATGGTAAAAAAGAAAAAACATTTCTCTTAACTGTCAATACTTGAATGGGGTCTAAAGGAAAGATTGAGATATTTATTTAATATTTTGTGTTCCTCGAGGAGTATGAATTCCTTGTTACCTTATATTGATCATGAATCATGGTGACATATATGACTTTTTGTAAGATTATTGGTATTTTGTTTTGAGGAACTGGATTATTTTTAACCATCTTTAGCTCAATCGGTGAATTACCATGGAGAGGGAAGAGCATCATCGGTAAATGATGGTCAAAGCGAATCATCTTATAATGGTACGGATAAACAACAGAGAAGGAGAAGATCTCAATCACACTCCTTGAGTAGAGGTAGGTGGCAACATTTTAAAAATGTTAGCTTAAGTTTCATTATATCATTATTATTAAGTATATTCATGCAACCATCACTCAGATGACATAATCAGCTCCGAATCAACAATGAGAATGGCCGATGGAGATACTGTGATCACTGAAGATTTAGAAATAAGATATCTGCAACGATCGAGCATCTATTTGGACATGGTGATGTTTTAATATTTGCCCCCCCTCCCGCTTTTCTTTTCTTTTTAAAGTGTTAGCGTAAGTTTCATTACATCATTATTACTAAGTATATTCATGCAATCATCACTCCGATGAAATTATGAGCTCCGAATCAACAATGAGAATGCACGATGGAGCTATTGTGATCACTGAAGAATTACAAAATAAGATATGTGCAACGATCGAGCATCTATTTGGACGTGGTGATGTTTTAATATTTGCTCCCCACCTTCCCCCCCCCCCCCTCCTTTTCTTTTTTTTTTTCGAAGTGTTAGCTTAAGTTTCATTACATCATTATTATACTAAGTATATTCATGCAACCATCACTCAGATGACATAATGAGCTCCGAATCAACAATGAGAATGAACGATGGAGCTATTGTGATCACTGATGAATTACGAAATAAGATATCTGCAACGATCGAGCATCTATTTGGAAGTGGTGATGTTTTAATATTTGCCCTTTTTCTTTCCTTTTTATCGGTAAAAACTTCATGGGAACAAAAAAATATAACGTTATGATTTCTCCAACATTGTTGTAGATTCTGAAATGGAGAGGGGTCATGTTCTTGACACGACTGGAAGTGATGACCAACCTGAAATGGGCGATGATCTTCCCAATACAACCGGATTTGACTATAAGGTGCCAATAATTCTATTTTCCCATTCATTATTGAACGCCTCCCGTGAACAATATCTGCACTAAATATGCACTTGTAATCTTTTCTTCTATACTCAAATTGAATTTCTATTGTTTGCAGGTTCATGGATGCACCGATGGGAACCATAACCTGTCCTATAGGGGTTGCCAAGGATTGATTTGTACGTCCTGTGATCACGTGGAGCTTGATGCATGCCAGGTTTTGAGATCGTGGGTAAGTATATCGATCTTGAAGCTGTACTTCTTCAATTTCAAGAACTACAATCGTCGTCTTACCAAAAATTGCCTTTTGCTTTTGTAGGTGCACAAAGCTTGTTCCGATAGCTTTGAAGAGATGGATGATCTAGAAGGTAATGGGTGACTTACGAAAATTCTAACATTTGAAAATAAGGCAGTCTAATATTTGCATTTCGTTTTTCAGGGACGGAAAAGTGCAAAATGCAGCCTTCTAAAGAAGAGTTGGAAGAAATTTTGGAGCATTTGAGGAGTCGAGCTCAAACTTACACTCGAATTTTTGGCGAGGAGTGTACAGTCTCTGAACTAGACTGCCTCTCCAACGAGGACAATGCCGACAGCCTCTCCAATACGATAGTTCCCCTTGAAGAACGCCATGAAATAGACAATTTGGAGGGTGATTCAGGGGATACTATCAGCAGCAGCAGTGCCGATAGGCCCTCCAATTCGATGGATTCCACTGAAGAAGTAGGCATTGCTGATGATGGCATTGGACGTCAGGTTAGATCAACAAGGAGAATCAATACACACCTGTCGTCAATTTATGTTGTGGGTGAGCTGTGTGAACTGTCTTCCGATGAAGACTTCACTCTGAGGAAGAGGCAAAAAGTGAACAATGGTAAAAGAGTCGACACTCCAGAGGACAGCGTGCCTGTGCAGCGCAGAATGGGAACTCCAAAACGGAAGGCTGCAGTGAACTCTCCTCAGAGGAAAACGAAGCAGAGGAGGCTGTCAGAAATCTGTGAGGTCGAAGAACACAGATTGGAGCTGGGGGGTGCAGTCTCAGTGTCAAAAGCACAGCGTGGCAAAGCTCCACGGACTAGCAAGAACAGCCGTAATGGAGATGACATGCCCTATTGGCTCGAGGAGATGACGAAGTTCATGACGGGGGCCAAAGCAAAGAAGATGAATCCTAAACGATTCGACATCTCCAAGTTTCTAGAAGAATCCATTTTCCGACCACAGTCTGGGACAATGCATACCGGTGAAGGTGAAGACTACCCTGCTCTTCCGAAGAAGTTCAGGTTTGAAGAGGATGCCGTGCCCCTGACTGAAGAGGAACAGCGAGAAGCTCAGGTAGCCAAGGAAATGGAGGACTTGTTCGATGACATGAACTTTGACTTGGCTGTGGAGGAGATGGGAACAACTACCAGCCATGAGGTAAGTCAATCAGTTTTAATAACTTGTGTCCATTAATCTCTATATATATTCAAACAATAGACAAGAACAGATTCGACACAGATTGAGAACTAATTCGCCACTATTTTTATTATTAATATTCAGAAAGCGATATAATAACTAACAATCTGTTCATGACTTGCAGGTGGTTCCAGTGGATGACGAGGAGGAAGACACCCAAGAGCGCAGATGTGCTCAGAGGGCTTCATGAATTGACATCAGCAGATGATCAAGGACTTTATTGTATCTATTGTCAACATGTAGCAATTCATCCGAGGGATGTAATTCCTCCATGGGTACGTATATATCGATTTCTTTCTTAAGTTGTCTATTCTCCCTAATTCTGCACTAATCTGTTATCTGAAAGTAGTTCAGTGTATTTTCAGGTTGATTTAAAATTTGTGCAGCTACCCCTGTTTATACAGCTTCTTTTTCTTCCTCCTGCAGGCAATCAAAACACATCGTGCACCGAGAAAGAAGAAGAAGCAGGAGAAAGGGGAGCGCCTGAATCTCGGCGCCATGACTCTCCCAGTAGCAGATGCAGCTGAAGTAAGCTGCCGGACTAGAGGCTCGGTTTGGGGTATCAAAGCTGGTGTACAAGAAACTTTGTACGAGCACCAACGAGAAGGATTTGAGTTCCTCTTGAGGAACTTGGCAGGCAGTACTGATATTGCCGACTCAAAGAGCTCAAATCTACCTGGAGTGGGCGGATGCATCATTTCTCATGCACCAGGGACCGGAAAGACACGTCTGACTCTTGTGTTCCTCGAGACATATCTAAAGATGTTTCCAAACTGCCTGCCGATGATCATCGTCCCAGCCACAATACTTGGTACCTGGGAAACCGAGTTCAGAAGGTGGAATGCGGGGTTTCATTTCCACAACCTGAATAATCCGGCATTCACCGGCGACGAGAGGGCGGCTGCTGACCATCTCTTTCAAGGGGCAAAGATTAGATGTCGGGATACAGAGGCAATCCGAATGGTAAAAATATATTCGTGGAAGAGAGGGGGAGGCCTTTCGGGGATTAGCTACAATCTGTTTGAGAAGCTAACGGCACAGAAGGGCAAGGAAGCAAATGCAGGGGAGGTGGGATTTCTGAGGTCGACACTTCTTGAGATGCCTGGACTAGTGATTCTTGATGAAGGCCATACCCCTCGTAACGAAAGGACTAAGATTTGGGCTTCACTGGTTCAGGTCAAGACAGATAAGCGTATCATATTGTCAGGGACGCTGTTCCAAAACAACTTCACAGAGCTGTTCAACACCGTCATGATCGTAAGGCCGACAGCGACAGAAGAGATTATGCAGGATCGGACATTTGCTGAGATTCTGCATTCAGATAAGAAAACCCATAGCCCTCGGTCTGCTTTGCTTCCTGAAGCAGTTAATCGTGCAGTGGAGAGGCTTAAAGTCTCCATGTCGCCGTTTGTGCACGTGCACAAGGGAACTATCCTGCAAAAGAATCTCCCCAGATTAAGAGACTCTGTCATCCTCCTTAAACCGACCGGACTGCAGAAGAAGCTGATCGACATATTGGAAGGGGAACGGTTAAAGAGAATAATTACGAACGAACATGGATTTTCTTTGGCATCTATTCATCCTTACCTCATCCAAAAATGCAAGTCGCAAGTGCCCACCGATGGAATTGATATGAAAGCAGTCGAGGCATCGAAGCTCAATCCTTTTGAAGGAGTGAAAACAAAATTCATCCTCGAGTTTGTCCGCCTCTGTATGACGCTGAAAGAAAAAGTACTCATCTTCTGCCAGAACCTTCCGCCCTTGGAGCTGATCAAAGACCATCTGGCTGCGACCTTCCAGTGGAACGCCAGTAAGGAAATTCTGAGGCTGGAAGGAAAGCTACCGAAGAAGCAACGCCAGAGAGTGATTGACGCATTCAACGATCCAGAAAATGATTCGAAGATCTTGCTTGCGTCAACAAGGTGCTGCTCTGAGGGCATTAGTCTGGTTGGGGCTTCCAGGGTCATTCTGCTGGACGTTGTCTGGAATCCTTCAGTCGAACAGCAGGCAATTTCTCGGGCTTATAGGATTGGGCAAAAGAAGGTTGTCCATTCCTACCATCTAATGACTGTTGGAACGCTTGAGGCGGACAAATATTGCCGGCAAGCTGAGAAAGAGCGGCTATCAGAATTAGTCTTCTGCTCTTCTTCGAATGAGAAGGATATATCAAAGCAGCCGATGCCAGAGATCAAGGACAAGATTCTTCAAGAGATGGTCCAGCACGCGAAGACGAAAGATATATTTGAGAAGATCATCCACCAGCCCAAGAATGCCGACTTGAGCCAGTCCTTGCGTGGTAGAGGTTGAGTATAAAGGTACTTATTGAGTTAAAGTTTCTATTTTTTTATTTTTTATTTTTAAGGAAACAGATTGATTGATGAATTGATTGATCATTTTTGTTTGTGAATTTTTATTTTATTTATTTATTTTTTTTGTCATAGCAACTTGATTCATATTATTAAATGATCCAATCTGTGCACCATTGGTACCCATTTTGTTCTCCATATATATCTGATAAAATAATTGAAGTATCTGAATGCAGGGCTTTAAAGAAGAAGTTCAAAGACAGGATGCATGTCTGATCATTTCCAGGTATATTAGCTGTTTGCTTTGCTACAATGGCTACATTTCTCAATTCCCTTTTCATTTTTAGACCAGACCTTAAGAGAGAATATACAGCAAGAGTATCGTGAGGTTGTCGAGAGGCGTGTATTCACAGGTATTAACATTATATTTCAAAAATGCTGCATTGAGAACCTGCACTTTTGGTCTTAATGATTTGACATATTCCTTGTTTTGTATTCAATGGCGGGCAATCGAGCTGATGAGGAGGTGAATCCAATCTCCCTTTATGTTTTTTAGCTAATAATTATTTCTATACATGGATAATTAATATTCTTATCTACATGTCCACAGACATGTAGATAAGAATATTTTTAACTATAAAATGTCGTGTCATTTAGCTACAAAAAATTAATTTTATCGCTAAAAATAAATTATGTACTACAAAATTGATTTCGTCGCTAAAAGTTTTTTACTAGAAAATTATATCCTCATAGCAAAAAGATTTTAAGTACAAAATTATTTTCATAGCTAAAATCATTTGGCTAAAAAAATCATTTGGCTAAAAAAATCATATATATTTGATTGCTAAAACTCTTTTGTTATGAATTTTAATTTTATAGAAAAAGCATGCTACGAAATCATATTTTTGTACCTATATCTCTTTTCTTAATTTTCATTGCAAAAAACTTATTTTTTTTGTTACGGAAGGCATGTTTGTCGCAAAAAATCTTTACTAACACGGTATAGGTGACGAAATGAGTTTCATCGCAAAAGTATATTTACCATGAATTATTATGTTTTGCTACGAAATTTTTTTTGTAGTGAAAATTCAGGTACACAATAGTCCTTCATTTTAATGTCATGTTTGCTTTACAAATTTAAGGTGTGTTTACTTATGTCTTACAATTTTTATATAAAAATTTTGTTGGTTTGAAAGATATAATATAAATATTAATTATACTATAGATACACTACAAAAAAAAAATAGTATATTTGTAACGGAATTCCGTCCCTAAAAGATCACGTAGCTAACATAATTCCATTATTAATTCCGTTTAAAGACGAAAAAATCTCGTTAAAAAAATGATATTTTCTTGTAGTGAGAGTGGATGAAGTTAAGGATAATTGTGTGTATTTCGAGCATGTTTAGTGTTAAATTTTATATTCTTTTAGAATTAAACTATTTAATATATTCTAAACTTCATTTTTAAAAATTACAATTTCATTCTTTATTATCAGTACTCAACTACTATTAAATATAGGTTTATAAGTGTAATAAAAAGCTTAGTGTTATTATTGAATCTCCTTCCACATGCCTGATCCGGTGCATTTGTTGAAAAAGATAAGGCGTGTAGACTATGTAGGAGTAAACTTCCGAAAAACAATGAAGATATTTGGTGTTGCAATATTTCTTGCAAGGTAATGTTATTCTATCGATCTTGTTAGCGCTATCTCTTCGGATGAATTCAAAGTAATTTCTATAGTCATATTAAATTTTATTTTCTTTTAATATAATGCTAGTTATTATAATGAATTGGGCTTTGGGGTTATATAAATTTAAAATACAACCATAAAAAACTATGACATAGTTTTTTGCAAATCATTGCAAAACTTAATTAGCACAGATAGCACAATATTTTGAAAAAAAAAAAAAAAAATCACAAACTTGTTGGTTCAATTGTATAGAAAATCCACATAGGTTTCACCAATACATGCACAATACACTCTTGATCATATCACACTTGCCTTTGTATCTATTCCATTGTATGGTTACTAACATTTGTTCATTTTTACTTATTTGAACTACATTTAATTTTAAATAAGTGTTTGATTATTTATTGAATCCATGCTCAATTGTTAAAGTTTTTTCAATTTAAAATTTTCAGATTCATAATGGTTTGAGGAGAGACAAAGTACAAATGCTTGTGCATGGAATTCAAGAATCGACTGTGGAGCAATCTTCAATGTCTAGAACATCAAAACAAATGTGTAGTCGAAAAAGGAGTGTGTCTAAAGATCTACCAGGTTCTTATTCCTAAAAGATTTAAAAAAAAAAATGAATGATTGACAAGTCGAATGGTGTGTGTATTTGTTTTTGCATTATGTATGTACATGTTAGGATTGATAACTAAAATTCAGTATAATAATAAAACAAGAAAAATTAGTTTTCTTGTAAAGTGAAAAAAATGACACCAATTAATAAACTTAAAAATAACAACTCAAATTCAGTATAATAATAAAACAAGTAAAATCAGTTTTTCTTATAAAGTGAAAAGATGACACCAATTAATAAAGTTAAAAACAACACATATTTTAATATCATGAAGCACATAATTGATACAAAATCAGCACAATGATAAAAACAAACTGAATTATTTTTCCCTTTTAAAATGAAAACATGATTGCAATTCACAAAATTAAAAATAGTACTACATAGTTGAAAACGAAAAAGACATAATTAACCCAGAGTCGAAACAATTGAAAAAAATCAATGAAAATATTGTTTCTAAATATCCAAATTCATTTAGAAAAAATAATCGGTACTATAACTGTCAACTCATCATTTTACTCTTTCATCTTAGATTTTCATGTAATGGACTTTTTGTTTCTTAATTCTAATCTATTGAAATGATTTTTTCGATTCAAGAGGTATGCAATGATTTTATTTGATTATGCTCTCAAGTTCATATTAATTTCATCTAACAACAAAACTGAGGATTTAAGTTTGTATTAATTTGCATAATAGAATGATATTATTGTCTTTAATTTTGTTTAGAATTGTTGAAAAATGGAGCTCGAGCAAATCTCCTTTTAATAGTAAAAAATGGCCAACTCTCAGCGTGGTAAGTTTATAATAATAACAACACTGTCAACGATATAAATGCATGAACACTAAAGCAATAAATTAGATAAGTATTTGTTGACTCAGTTCACTTATAAACCAATCTTACATGGGATTGAATTCACTATAATCAATAGTGAATATAGTGCAAAACAACGACAAACTCCTTCAACATATTTCTTTCATAATGACTAATCTTGAAATTTGTGTACACATATTGGCTGTCACAAGTTCGTACTGACACCAGTGTTTACAATAGCAACGGAGTAATGCAGATTAAGAGTTGGTCGTCTCCACCTGTTGGACCTCCGAAAACTCCTTCCTCCGGCGACTCTTCTGATGAGTTTTTGTGTAAAACATAAGTTCAAAATACCAAAATAGTGAGGGACATAAGTGAAAGGTCGGTGGAATATTTCTCTCTCTAAAAACTAACTCTCAAATGTGATCTATCTACGACAAGACTATCCCAAGATGTACATTCAACCACCTTGTTGAACAAGAAAAATAAACCAAATTAATTTCATTTACACTGATATGGAATTGGATGTTTCTCTGGAAATCTAATAGTATGTTGACTATCCTCATTCATTCAATTTGTCTTTTGTGTATATATAAAGATGAGACAAAATGGACAAAGATAAATATACTGCAGTATATGTCTATGTGCAACAGAGATAGTCAACTTTGTTGTATTTGAATTCTGATGACAACCATTGCAAAGATGAAAATTTTGTCTATATGTCAAAATAGGAAATAAGATTGTGCATGTGTGTGCAACAGACATAGTCAGCTTTGTTGTATTTGAATTATGATGACAATCATTGTAGGGATAGAAATTTTGTCTATATGCCAAAATAGAAAAGGAGAGCTATTTTCATTTAACAATAATTTCATAATATATGGTCTTAGCTAATTATAAGAAAGCTTCAAGAAATAATGAAATAACGAACCAATAGCTTTAAGCTAGATTCATTTATGTTGGTACATCTCATTAATTAATTATTATATTGTATTTTCGTTATACCAACAATATAAATGGTGTTGTCAATTTTCAAATATATATATATTTCTTTCGAACGTAAAAATTATATTTCATTCGTTTCACATAATTTGTCAGTATTTTGTAGTTCATATAATTTGTTTTTTTCTTTTCTGAAAATATAATTATACATTTTAATCAAATTTTAAATTTTATAATTTATGATTTTCTTAATCCTAATCAAATTATTTAATTATCTTAATCTTAATATATAATTATTTTTACTAATAAACTTCTCAAATACTTACTAATAATAGAGAATATAATTATTTTTATTTTCTTTAGCTAAATTTATACACAATTAATTTATAATAAACAACTTTATTCCTTTAAAATTTTATTTATCTTTATTTTAAAGAATAATAACTAATTTATCACTAATTTATCAAAAAAAAAAGTGAGACTATATTTAGAAGAATTTTATTTATCTTTATTTTAAAGAATAGTAACTAATTTATCACTAATTTATCAAAAAAGGCGACCATATTTAGAAGCCTCCAAGCGTCTAATTCTTTTGTAGGTTTTAACCAACAATTTTTACTATTCAAATTCTTTATTTTTCTTCAAAATATATATATATATCAAAACAAACAATTATTTTTTTTATATATATTATATTATGGTCATCATACAATTATTCAAATACAACTTTTTACTGTTCATAAATCCAAACCCAAAACCCACAAACAAACGCACCCAAAATTACTCTACACCGAGCATAAGTCGAGAACTAACATCATAGAGAGCATCTACGAGCATTTCACGATATAATTTTCGAATTTCTTCACATTCATCTAAATCCCGACATAGCGCAAACTAACAAGAATCCAACTTACAATCCAACGTGCGAGTTATCTTCACTCGACGATCATATAAAACTTCAATAAATCGCCCAACGAATCTTCATACCACAAAGACAACACGAACGACCAAACTCTATTCTAAAAGATCAAGAATTCCCGTATTTCTAAAACATCAACAAGTTCATCGAGCATTCCACAACAAACGTTTCTAGCAACAACCTAGTCAACAAATAAAACAACACGCCGAGCATTATAGAAAAGGGAAGCGCCGGCAAAGCCTTGCGATAAAACGCAAGGAGCAACAACGTTATCCCGAGACCCGCAACAATCGCAAGATAACACGCATAAACCGTCATAAAATCATACTTCGCCGCCCTACCAACCAACACGCTATAAAAAATAAAATCCCCCAACCCTAGCTTGATCGCGCCCGAAGATCCCAAACCAATCCCTTCAAGCGCAAGATTTTCACCCGATCCACCACCCCCCATCGAATTCATCCGCATACTCGTTTGCTGAATAAGCGGCGCTCTTAACTCCCCCGACCCCCCAACCAAAACCCGACCCTCCTCGACGCCAAGACTCGATCTTTCCCCGGAATTCCCATCCAAACCAACACTCCACACCCTTCTCCTCGGCAAAACACCATTGTCGCCGTCTCCGATCACCGGACGAGCCTCGTAAACCAAAGCCGGAATTTCTTCATCCCTCGACATCGCCAATTCGACCAAAAGCCTTAACGGCCCTCCCGGCAACAAAACGGCGGCAAGATCATACAATGCCATGGCTATTAAGAGCACCCAAGTTGTCCATTCCGGCAAAAGTGTAAACCAATAAGCAACAAGAACTCCAATCACTACTAAATAAGCTTGAGTCACAAATATCGCCATTTTCGAAAGGAAGACAGCCATAACACCAACGACAGTGAAATTAAAGAGCAAAACGAGGAAGGTAATGCAATCGATTGGGAAATTGAAATGCTGGATCAAAAATAGGGCGATTTCGCCCCCCATAAACCCTAGAACCATTAAAGCAGAGAAAGCCATGTAGTATTTAAGGAATTTTGTGCAGCGGAAGTAGAAGAGAAGGACCAGCAGGAATGTGACCGCGGTTACGACGGCGATGAATATGACGGAGTTGAGTATGGCGCCTTTGAGCTTATCCCAAATTGAGTCGGAATCGGACTCGTCGTAGGCCATGGTGGCCACCGTGGTCAGGGAGGCGCCGCCGTCGCCGCCGGAGTCGAGAATTGAAACGAGGATTACTACGGAGAGCATACAGATTGAGACGGGGGTTATGATTCGGGTGATTTCTTCGCCGAGTGATTCGAGGAGGCTGCTGCGTCGTGGATTGGGATTGGAATTCGGATTGTGATCCATTGTGGATCAAGAAATTTGGGGATTTTTTGGGGGTGGGGATTGGGGATTGGGGCTTGGGGCTTGGAGGCCGAAGGGATGCAGAAACTCCAATTTGGAGTTTTTTTAGTGTAGCCAAACACGCCCTTGCGTTGGAAGCACGCACGAGTCACGTGTTCGCCTGTGTTTGATATGTGAGTTTTCTTACCGTATTTTTATTATTTAATAGTTAGTCCTCCTCGTCGACACTAAAAAAGTTTATATATTTATTTTCTTTTTTTAAGCATATCTGCAAATGTGTTTTTGGGAAAAAGCAGGAAAGAGAATAAAACAAAAATAAATAATAAATTAAAAAGAGAAGACGGAATATACTATTATATCCTTTTTCGTGTCAAAACAATAGTTTATGGGTTCAAACCCCGATGTCTCAGCTCACCTGTCACACATGGCTCGGGTTCGACCGGAGATTTATACTTTTAGGTAGCGGCCAGGATTACTGCGTCGTAAAAAAAATAGTACCGGATCAAAAAAAAACAAAATGTTCCATTTTGTCTATCATTTTGTCATTTTTCAATCCATTCTAAAACAATATTTTCATTTTTATTTTTAGTAATTACAAGGGTGCGTTTTTTAGGAGGTGTTGGGGAAATTTGGGTTTGGATTTGAGTTTGATATTTATTTGAATTTTGAGATGAATTTACATTTTGATATTTCTTTTGAGTTTGAGTTTGATTGGAATTTGAGGAGTTTTAATGTGTATTGATTTGATGGATATAAATATAATAATATAAATGTATAATAATTTGTATAATTTAATTATAAATTTATATTATATTTTTATATTTTTTTTAAATTTTTATTTATTTGTATTATAAAAAAAATTTATTCTCTACAAAATAATATATATTGTATATATTTTATTAAATTATAATTATTATAATTTTTTTTATATTTATAATTAAAAAAAAAAAAAGACAGCCTCACATATTCTGTCTTCGAACCCCTCTCCAGTCTAGTTTTGGGATGGATCAATGTGCAAACACTTGTTTGCACCATAATCCAACCTAAAATTGGACTCAAAAAACAGACCCAAAATCATTATTTGATCGTCATATAAACCACATCATTGTAGGCCTTGTCCCTTTGGCAACGCATGGAATGTTTTTCGCCATATAGTTCGAGAGTTGGGGTTCACTGCTTAGAATAATAAAATTTTAAATCGAAATATATATTTGTTATAGTACGTGTGTGATATGACTATAATAGTTAATATAGTTGAAGGGAAAAGTTGAAGGGAAAAGAGCAATGTTATTGCCGGAGTTTGGAGCCAATCCCACAACCATAACACACCCGACTCCCTAATGAAACAAATATTAAAACATCATAAAAATACTATGGTACCGGGAGAGGCAAGCGACAAAGTACCTAAATGGATTCGTGTTCGCTCAGCGGAAAAGCCTTGGCACGGATCGCTTCGGGATCTTGCCTTCGAGCTTTAATCTTCTATAAGCTTCCCTCATGTGGCTTGGCCTGATCGGTCCGGAGTCCCTTCGCTCTCCCATTACAATCCGCGCTGCAATCATCAGACAATACTCCATTTAGATAAGATTTTTTGAAAGTTTCAGGCTGTGTTCTTTTGTGAATTTTTAACATATTTTTACTATTCAATTTTATTTTTTCTCCAAAATAATCAAATAAAATAATTACTTTTGGTTTTCTTTATATTATACTAAAAACGTGTTTTGCATTAAAAATATTACATCAATATCTATTTATATCATATTAAATAACTAATCAAATTCAAATTTTTACTATTTAAAAATTAAATCCACAAACAAACACACTTACAGATCTTTCGGATTCACCAAATTAAGTTTTATAGAATAGTAAAAAATTAAGGCTCCAGGGTGTGTTCTTTAGGATTCACCAAATTTTTTCCCCTTAAAAAATATCAAATCAAACACTTATTTTTTATTTTTTATATTACCCTAAAAATTATACAACTATTTTAATTCAAAATTTTAAGTATTCAAATAGCAACTCAAAATCAAACCTAACAAACACACCCTAGAAATTTTCTTTCGGTGTTTTTGGAGCTTTGAAAAAATTTTAAAATATTAAAAGTTGAAAAAATAATGTAATGTTTAGTTAAAAAATATATTATATATATATGCATTTGATGTAATAATTTTGAAAAACAATTACTGTTATTGAATAGCATTAAAACTGACATAATGTTTCTTGAAAGTGATCCTCTGTATGAATAGTGTCAAAAGTGATTTCACTGAGAAATGGCAAAGGTACCTGTTTCAACCAGCTCGCCAACGAACATTTTTGCAATTCCAGATACCACAATGGTCATAGGTATAGATATTTTGGCGCTTCCGGTAATGCTTGTCAATAACTGCAGCGAGAAATTAAACGTTTTGGAAATGAACATTTTCCATATACCTACCGAGCAAATTATAGTTCATATAACGGGGTGGGGTGATAGATAAGTTCGAGCAGCTCTACATACCCGTTTCATATTGGATTTCTGAAATCCGGATCTTCTAAACGACTCGTACCTACTCATTTGCTCCTCCGTAAAATGCGCTAAAATTTCCCTGGAGAAGAAACACTATGTTTGAAAAGAAAGAACTAAGCGCGACACGTAATACTCAAGAAAAATATCAACATATTGAATTACGCCAAATGAAGCTATACTGGCTTTCTGACAATGAGGTTCACATTATACAGAAATTTCTCTATTAGTATCAGCTAACTAACGAGATGTTTCATCGTAGATAGCACTCTGGCTAAAAAAAAGAACAAAATTGTAATCGGAAATTTGAAATAAAAAATAAAAAATGGCCTTCATACCATAGTCAACATTCCCAATCTGTTACCAATCAAAGAGTAAAAATCGAATGAATATTCAAATTTGGTTTTGTGAACCCAAAGTTAATCTTTTGGGTTTGAAACTAGATTACACTCACTCGTGAAAAATAAATGGATGATCCCCCACCCCAGATAAAAAAATATTTAGAAATGTAGAATTGTACAAACAGATTAGCCTGAGTGTTTTCCAAGAATCGTGCGGCACATAAACAGAGAAGAAATACACAATATTCAAATTTCAAGCACAAACAACCGATTTTCACTTTTTTGGCCAAGCTCAACTATCAAAGAACACAAGCATGTTCTAATCTTCTAAGGAAATATTTTCGCTTTGTAAAATGAGGTCATGATAATTATACTTGCATAAATGAAGCAATCGAAGATACTGAACAAATCAAACTTAAATTAGGAAGATATAATCAGCCCACTTACTGCATTTTGGCTGTTTTTGCAGGATCACCACTCCGCAACTTGCCAAGTTCAACATCCATGTTCTCTTCTTCTTCTTCCTCATCGTCGTCCTTATTTTTTCCAGCCGGACCAGTTCTCCCTATCGATACGGGAGCAGAAGTTGAAGGACCTGCAGCAAGTACTTTGGCGCTTTGTTCAAATTCTCCAGTAACATTAGTATTTGGGCCAGCTGAGGTTTGTGTTTCATTTTCATCGACACCAACAGGGGATTCTGGTGGAGAATCTTCCTGCTCTTCAAAAGCAATCTCAAATGGATCCTTTGATTTCTTCATCCAATTTCCTATACATGTAATTCAATCGATCTTCAAGCATAAACCAGCAACACGAACCCCATTATCTATTCCCTGATTTGGAAGTGGGATATCTATTCATTGTATAAAAGTTCCTTTTTGACAAAACTATGCACGTATTAACACTGAAAAAATGTTTGAATAGAAGTAATGTCATGTGCCTGAGAAGATGCATAAGGAGCTCTCTCTATATCAAACTTCTTATTATTAATTGTTTAGTAATCAATAATTTGAGAAACAGTCTGCACTTCGATGCTAAAACAATAAGTTGGGGTTTTTTTACAGGTTTTTACTATTCATGAAAAAAAATTTCTCCAAAAATATCAAATCAAACATTTGTTTTTCATTGTCCATATTACATTAAAAATTAATTTACATTTAAAATATCACATCATCGCCTATTTATAGCAGAACAAGCAACTATTCAAATTCAAAATTTTACTATTTAAAATCTCAACCCCCAAACCAACAAACCCTAAAGCCGTTTTGTTGCTTTGCAAAACTAAATAGAATTAAATAATGTGGATTCGCACTTTTTTGTTTTCATTCTCAATTTTTTACTACTCAATCTTTATTTTCCCTCTACGAACACCACATCTAAAACTTAATTCACATACAAAATATTACATTAAACAACTATTTTCACCTCAAAATATTAAAAACAAATACAAAAGAACACACCCAATGAGTTCGAGAAATTTGAGCAAAAACTAACTAGATGATGGGCATAATATATAAACAAAATTGCCTCAAACTAGATAACGGTCCCTTTTTTTAGTACTACAGCAACTACACTGCACTTCAATTTTTTAGTCTAATCCTTTTATTGAAATTGCAATTACAATGAGAACAAAATTTTACGGCGGTCACTAATACACTAATCAAAACCAAATAGACTACTCAACTACAAGATACCAGTGTCCCAGCATTGATCAAGCCTTGAGATATTGGTCATGACAAATATCCGACAACAATTTCAAGATAACAAGAACGAGATCATTAAAAAGCACATACAAACTCGGCCTAGCATAAGAAATAAAAAGTGTTATCCCCTGAATTAATCAATATGTTAAAAATGTCGCTCTAGAGCTTGTCTCATTTATATAGAAACTACAAAAACATAGATTTAACTCAAATTAACACCATAACGCATCAAACTTCGAAAAGTGAAGGCTTTTTAATAGGCGAACCAACTATATATCTAACAAATTATGCATTCCTACCACATAGATTTTACACAATTACAGTAAATTCAGATTCATAGTTACAAATACAAATTAAGCATCTATGTAGGTCAGATAAACAAAATTGGTAATACTACAGAATCACATTGCCCATACATAACTCTGCCATATTGAAGAATTACAAAACCAATTCAAGTGACCACCATTAATTTCCAAAATTGAGAATCATAAATCCTAAAGTCACAGCATAAATCTATTCAAAATCTGGAATACTGCAGATAAATTCATTGACAACAACATAGCTAAAACTAAAATGGATAGAACACTCAAATTAGTCAAAATGGATAGCAGCCACTGTTTTCAAGTAGAACGAACCAAAAAATTTAAAAAATCTGATTATTCCATTAAACAAACAATCAAACGACACTTCAACAAACAAGTACAAGTCCAGACGTCAAGTTCAGAGAAAGTAACGAGCAAATAAACAAAGAAATAAATATTCCAATTGTCAGATTGCACTGATTTGACAGAAATTAAAAACCTAACACGCACCTAGTTCCAACAAAGTCCAACCTTGTTTTCAAAGAATCGTCTCAACACCTGAGGAAGGAATTGGAATTGGAAGTAGTATCGGCGAGTGATCTCCGGAGAAAGGAACTGGAATTGGTAATCGGCGAGTCACTGCCGGAGGAGGAAGGAATCAAGGATGGTTCTCTGCGAGCAAGGAGCGAATTTGTGGCTTCTTCCTATTTGGGCTTAGACTTGGGCTTTATTTAAATGGTTACGAATATGGGAAATATAAGAATTATATTTTTTTAATTAGCACTTTTTTTTTAACAATATTTATGTTTAAATACTTCAGTTTCAGTCTCATATAAATTGTCTATATTTTTTATTTTCGACTATTTCATATAATTTTTTATTTTATTTTATACGATTTAATCACATTTTAAATTTTATAATTTATAATTTTTTAAATCTTAAATATATTATAATTATTTTTATTAATATATTTTTTAATTATGTATTAATTATACAATAATAAGGATAATTTATTTGGGACGAAAGAAATAGTATTTAAAATATATATATATAAGGAATTATTTACTTTAAAGTGAAAAAAATAATAATAAATCAAAATAAATAGGCATAAATTTATTTAATATACAAATATTCACCATACTCACAAGTCACAGCATAATTCAATAGACAATTATTAATTTTTCTCTTTGAAGTTTAAATTTTTTACTATGAAAATTTTAATATAAAATATTACAATATGCAATAAATATTATTTGTAAATCACATTTAATAAAATATTTCATTTGAAAAAAATAAAGAAATCTCAACTACATAATAACTTTTGTACATTTATTTTGAAAAAATATATATCGTCCCTCTCTCTCCTAATAATAGACTATTTTAATATTAAAAATATTCAAAAATAATAAATATAACTTAATAATATTAATAAAATATATTTCGTCATAAAAATATCAAAATATTCATTTCAATGTATATTGAACTTTACTACTTAAAGCAAACAGTGGTTTCAATGAGATTAAAACATTGAATTTAGTTTTGAAAAAATAAAAATATTACAATATAAATTATAAAATTAAGAGTGTTTTTACTTTGTATTTATATACTAAGGGTGTTCGTCTGTAGGATTTTATCAAAATTCTACTATTCATTCAAAACTTTCCCTCCAAAAACATCGAATCAAACACTTATTTTTTATTTTTTTATATTATACTAAAAATCAATTTTACATTCAAAACATCACATCAATATCTATTTATATCACATCATACAACTATTCAAATTCAAAATTTTTACTATTCAAATCCTAACTCAAAATTCAAACCCCCAAACAAACACACCCTAAGTTGATCGTTCAATTTATTCTTATTTTATTATTTAAATTTACTCTCGTTTCTATAAAAAAAATACTGCTTCTTTATTATTTATTTTTACCTTAAAAAGTAAAAAAAAAAAAAATTATTTTCATTTATTTTTATTAAAACTAGTGTTCAATCAATTAGTACATCATTGAATAATTAAGAGAATAATAATTTGATATAATACTTTATAATATATATATATATAAATAATAATGAGGGCATAATAACAAATAGAAATTAAAAAAATAATAATAATAATAAGGTAAAAAATAATTAAAAGAACACAACCATAGATCTTAACAAAAACAGTCCAACCGTAGTCAAAACTCATGTGACTCTCAACAAATTCAGCATTTTAGCTTAAACAAATAATACGCACGCTGAACACGGCCGTACCGAAATATTGTAGTGTTCAAAAGCGTGCATAAAAATATGTGGGAACACAACGAACACGGCCGTGTTTCCAACTCGACTTATGTTTTTGTAGCACGATAATAGTCATGAAATCAATATCATACATGAATTTCACTAACCTTTGAAGCTTATCCTCATTTGAAAGATGCAAAGAAGCTGATGGTGTCTTCGAGAGCCCCGATGAATTCGTCGACATCTTCTTTCGTGTTGTAGAAATGGAGGCTCGCTCGCGCACTTGCATTCACGCCCAAATAGCGATGGAGAGGCTGCGCGCAGTGGTGACCCGATCTAACGGCAACGCTGTGCTGAAATATATTGTCCATTACAAATTAGGCTCTTTTAAAAAATATTATATCAAAACGTAATACAAATCAATGGAAAATGACAAAAATATTTCTATTAGTGTCTCGTAATACTAATACAATGACATTTGTACAAAAAAAATTATACAAATATAAAAGATATTTTTAATATTAAATATAATGACGTAAAAAATAAATATAACCCTTAAAGGCGGACGGAGAAAATATTAATTTTTTCTCGCAAAACATTGTCAAATACCCATTTTTTTTTACTATTCTCAAAATTTTCTACAACTCCAAAACTCTTTTATCTAAATAGAGCCTTCGAAACGATAAATTGCATATACATCACATCATGAATAGTTTTAACATAAATATAAAAAACACCTTGCATAAACTATATTGTAGATCAGTATATTATGCACATTTTTAGTTAGCACATCAGTGAATTTAGGGTGTGTTTGTTTGGGGGTTTGAATTTTGATTTGGGATTTGAATAGTAAAAATTTTGAATTTGAATAGTAGTATGATGTGATATAAATAGGTGTTGATGTGATGTTTTGAATGTAAAATTTATTTTTAGTATAATATAAAAAATAAAAAATGTGTTTGATTTGATTTTTTGGGAAGAAAAAATGAGATGAATAGTGGATTTAAAATCCAATCCCCCAAACAAACACACCCTTAGTGTATGTTGTGCATTTTGACTAAAATACAAGTACTGTAGATATACTTTACTGACAAATGTAAGCTCTGTTTACGTAAAAAAAATTTATAAATTTTGATACTATTCATCAATAACAACTTTCATAAAAAATATCACCTTAAATACCTTTTTTATCTCACAAAATCACATCAACCACGAAAATTTTACCATTCCAAAAATTCTCCAAAACTCTTATCCAAAAAAAACCATAATTTCTAAACAAACTTAGAAGATCGAACATTATAGAAATTTTGGGAAAAAGAATTTGGCAGAGTCATCAATTTTAATATTTGTTTGCTATCAATACTAAAGGAATAGTAATGATGTTCGCGAAAGATAGGGAAATGTACCTGCTGGTCAAGGAAGGTAGCAATATCTGTTGGATGAACATCTTCGACATTGAACGAGCAAAGCGCAGCTCTGTTCACAGTTTCTGAAGGTGCCGGACCATAGAGACGGACGCCATGCACTGACCGTAACCTATTGTATAAATAGTTTGCTAGCTCTACCTGGAACAAGAAAACAGAGAAAAAGAAAAACCCACTTGCATAAGCAAATTATTTGCAAAATGATATATCTAAGGATTCATAATCTCGGATTATCCTTGCGGCTGTAAAAGAATCAGAACGAATAAAAAGAGTTATCCAGCAGTAACTAAACAGCACGAGTATCGGTGCATTTCTTAAAATAGGATTGAAGAGTCGAATGCTAGAAAAAAATCATAAGGTTCGGATTGCATCAAAATGTACCTCGTACTCATGGATAGTTTGCATTCCAATGGCGGACAAATAATCAATTGCTGCTCCCAAACCGACGGCCTCACCAATCGCGGGAGTCCCAGCCTCAAATCTGATCTCGTTTGTTGTATTTATAACATAAGGCGAAAAATATCAACAAGCAATAAGGCATTCAAACTCGAAAAATTTGCAGCATGTACAAAAACCAAAACTTTAGATCAATAATTAATCTCAATCAGACATTAATAGATGCTGCTAATACAATTCGTGATTTAACATGCACTAGTTCTGACCAAAAAAAAATGTATAAACTAATTGCCACCCGACTGATCTGGTCAAGTCAGTATGGTGCTGATTTGAAAGTAATCAACATATATCTATACATAACATATTTATAATACAACATATGTTAATATTATAATTCAGAAAATATTATATTATAACTCAACATTAGGGGTGTGCATTCGGTTGGTTTGGTTCAAACCGAACCAAATTTTCAATTTTGATCGATTTTCGGCTTATAAAAATTGAAACCAAAATCGTACTAACGTTTTTCAAAATCAAATAAACCAAATCAAACTAGTCCGGTTCGGTTCAATTCGTTTTAAAACAGAAGAAATTAAACTTTTATTTACTAATATATATTTTTAATATACAATCAAATATAAATACTCAAAATATAATATATATTATTTATTAATATATAATTTATTATTATTTTAGAAGTTCGGTTTTTTCGGTTAACCAAAATTAAAAATTAAAAACCATAACCGAACCAAACCAAACCAATTAACCGAATAATCTAAACCAAACAATTCGAACCGAAAAAAAATTCGATTTTTTCGATTTGAACCAACCAATGCTCACCCCTGCTCAACATACAATGTACTATGTGCAAATATATGTCGGTTATGTATATAAAATACTTGGCTAGATCAGGATCTGCAGCCCTGATTGCCTTACAAGGAGGAGGCACAAAGGTGTGCATCGGTAAGGAACAATTGTAACCAACTTTCAATAAATATAAGTGGCATTGTTACAAAATGTACTCTTTCCACAGACACGTCATGATTTCTAATCAAAATCTCTATGTTACAAAATGCCTCTATTCTATATATTTTCATTTCCATGGCCAATCTTTTCTTCAATAATAACTTTGGATATTTTTTATTGCAATGCAAATATTAAGAAAAATGAACTTTTGGTGTTGTATTGTTAACAAACTTTGATTTGATGAACTAAAAATTAGCCAAAGAGGGACTTTTTCAAGGAGCATTAACTTTTCCGTCTTAATTTGAGTTAAAATCCAATTTGATAATGCATAGACATTTTACCATGATAACCATAGCACGTAACGATAGGGGTGGAAAAGTCCCAAGGTAAAAAACCAGTACAGTTTTTCCATTTTCTAGAACCAGCAATTTTGCAATTCCAAACTCTAAACCAATGCTACATGTTAAATGATGTAAATGACCGACTCACCTAAAAGTTTAAGTTGTTAGAAATACGTATCATTTATTTATTTATCTACAAACAAAAATCCACCAACACTACATAACCTCTCTAAAACTATCGAAGCATATTCATGAAACAATCATACAGATACAAGTACTGTAGGTCAACCAATATATGTATATATATATAGATAAACACAGACCTAGATGGAGGGTCAGCATAGGTCGAGTAGTCCAAAAATACATCTGCTATCATTTCACCACCACCTGAGAATTACGCCGACAGGTTTTTAGAGGTCCAACCAAACAATTTACATAAAACGATTATATGATAGTAACAAGAGATTATTGATGTTGTGGTTATGACCCTTTGATCTCTTCCCCCCTCTTTTTTTCGTAGATTCAGGAAGTGAAAAGAAATGAGACTAAACACTTCAAATCGAAAAAACGCACCTAAGAAAGGAGGCATGGCAGACAATAGCTCACTTTTCCCATATAAGAACCCAATGCCTGTAGGCCCACACATCTGAAGCATGTTTATTTCTTCACTTCAAATGCTCACTACGAAGCTTGATAGTTAACTCATATAGAAAGAAATTGACCTTATGAGAAGAAGCAACAAGAAAATCTGGATCAAGGGCCTTCACATCAACTGCCATGTGAGGAACACTTTGGCATGCATCTATAACCACTTTGGCCCCAACATCATGCGCCCAACTTACAATTTGGTCCACTGGAAGAACCGAAGCTGAACGGATAAATAGATATAAGTTCATTATGTCAGATTGCTCGACTGAGAACCAAAAATGAGCAACAAAAGAAAAGAGTTCTGCAGCGAAGGACTTAAGACAGGGAATTATTGGTAAAGACTACTCAACATAAATGTAATGCCATACTTTAGAATAGTTACCCTAGACTACGTTAAAAAATACACAGTATTTTGGTCTGAAATTTCAGTTCTGCTTAATTAGCCTTGAACAGAATCTTTTATGTGAAAACTTGTCATAAGATCATCGAACCTTTTCAATCTCAGAAAACTCTTTTGCAGCTTTGGATTGAATCAAGAGAAAAAAAGTTACCTGCTATTGAATTTGAGTTATAGACATTCAGATTGCAATGAAATAGTATTTTTGTATCTAATGTTTAGAAACTAAGCCCAAAAATCAGCTGATCCAAATCATTTAGTCCCTGGTAATTTCGGATGAGCCATAGATAACATATAATGAGCGCTTCAGACACGTAGAAACTCTAAAGTGGCATAGCAAGTGGATAGGCATCATTCAAACACAGTAACGAAATATTCACACCCATGTATGAATTGCGGATGCAAAAGCATTTTAGCTAGAGTTAATACTAACTTACAGTCCATGCATAAATATCATCTAGATAAAAGTATAGTTCACAGTCAAAAGTACACTCACCCAAAACATTGGAAACATGGTGAACGACGACAAGTTTAGTCTGCCTTGAGAGCAATTCCCTTAGCTTCTGCACATCTGGCACTTCATCTTCTGTTAAATTTACAAACTTTAAAACTGCACCTGTCTTTTGAGCTACAATTTGCCAAGGGACAATAGCACTGTGATGTTCAGCAACTGTAAGCACTATCTGAAAACCACAAATTAAACATGTTTTTAACTCTTTAAAGATAATATAATAACATTAGTTAAATTCATAGTAATAAAACCTTGCGCATCTCAACGAAATATAGAACTAAGAAATAGATAAAATATAGAGGCGAACAATTGATGTGATCTTTGCAATTGCAACTAAGTTCATTTTTTTTTGCAACAATCACATGATGATATATCAAACCTAACTTGTTTTTATGTCCACAAACATCTCACTAAAAAGCTAGAGGTAAGCGACTTTAAACATTAAACATTTAACATTCCCATATCAACCATCCCCAGACATACCCACAAACTGCATTCCATTTCTTAGCTGAAGAACAGTGCACGTACTTGTCAAGCAGGGTGCTGGATCTAAGATCTTAAAACCATTATTCACTTGTAACAGGCACATGAATGATAATTCTTTATGCTTCAATAAGGAAAATACCATCTTCTGTGGATTTTTCAACATTTTTCACTATTCTATTAATTTTCCTCCAAAACAATATCAAATCAAATGCCTAGTTTTTCAGTTTCTATGTTATACTAAAAATGAATTTTACATCAAGACATCAACTATTCAAATTTAAATTTTTACTATTCAAAAATCTAAATCATTAAACAAACACATGCTTTTCAAGCAGTGAGAAATAATCTCCATCCAAATTACCTACTCACACAAACAAAAACATTCGAAAACTAGCACAAACTCCAGGAAACAAAAAATTCACATTGCTGCAAGAGTTCTACAATCCATTTATCAAAACTATAAATCGACTTGCTACGAAAAAACAGGAAAAAATAAATACAACAGCATTGAGTAGCTTAACAATGCCGAAACCGATGCAACTTCTAATATCATACAAGCCACAAGACCCCATAATCTCTCTGCCAAAAAAGCTATCTAGCTCAGCTCAAACTCAGTTCATCGAAATATGATTCGAAACAATTAATTGAAAAGGATACAAAGCTCATACCTCATCCCCCTTCTTCAAATTTGAGAGGCCCCAACTGTAAGCCACCAAATTAATGGCCTCTGTAGCATTTCGCGTGAACACAATCTCCCTACATTCCGATGCGTTTATAAAATTCGCAACCTTCTGCCTCGCTGATTCGTATTCCTCCGTAGCCTTCGCGCTGAACAAATACAAAAACAAGCATAAGAACAACCAATCCAAACACCACCACCACCACAGCTCCCACCGGAATTACCTCAAATAATGAATGCCGCGGTGGACGTTCGAATTATAAGCCTCGTAGTAAGTCTGCAGCGCCTTCAGCACCGCCGCCGGCTTCTGTGACGTGGCGGCGTTATCCAAATACACAAGCCTCTTCCCATTCAACTCCTGCGTATAAACCAAATCGCCGCAATAACGATTCACTTCCTTACCAAAACCAAAAGGTGCGAGAAAATAAAGACATAAAAGTTCGATTGCCTGGTGCAGGATAGGGAAATCGGGCCTTGTGATGTGACCGAGCGATCCAGGGCCGAGCTTGGGGTCGCTGGACAGCGCAGCAGGCGCGGAGGAGGAAGCTAACGGCATAGCGCGGAAGGTACGGTTAGGTATAGCGCGGATTGAAGGGGAGAGCTTGAAAACGACGCCGTTCATGGCTGTTACCATCATCGCCGGCGATTTGGTCCACACTTCTCTTCTCTCAGTTATCAGCTCAACAATGGCTACTGATATTTCATTTCCCCATTTGTTTTATATTTTCATTTACCAATAAATAAGAATAAATAATTTATGCGTGTTGCACGTTTAAATAATAAGGCGAAATTAATCCAAATTGATGTGATTTTATGAAATTGTATCCAAAATTTATATTTACATAAAATAATTTCTTTGTAATTTTATAAACTGTGTCTAATTTTCTGCCGTTCTTATTTAATAAATTTGACTTAATGCGAAGAAAATAAATATATTTGTAATTTTAGAGTTATAGAAATTGAAATTTTAAATTTTTCTTTTTTTTTTTTTAGCAAATATCCTTAAATAAGGACCTAGGGATTAGACAGAGATGAAATTTGACACAATGTTAGAAGTATGGGAAATTTAGACGCAATTTCATAAAATAATCAGTATATTTTGTGCAATTTAATCTTATATATATATATATATTATATTACAAATTTATTTTAGATTCCAAATATCATATCAACTTTATTTATATCAAATCAAACAACTATTTAAATTAATGTCTTACTATTACTATTATACTACAAATCTTTCTTAAAATTGAAATATGTTCGGTTGATTCTTAAGCCTACTGAATGCTTTTCAAAGGGTCTGTGTTTAGTTAATTAGATTCGAGTTTTTTTGCTTGAAATTTGTAAAATCGATTCTTCAAAATTATAACAATTATTATCATCATTGTTTTCTTCATCTCTTTCTAAAGTTCCACAATATATGTTCAAAAAAAATATAATTTTATATTTAATTACTATATAAATTTTTATAATATTATATATAATTCTATTTTTAGTTTAATTTAAATTTATATAAAATAAAATTTTCTTAGGGTAGATGAAAACGAACGAAAATGTGTTGAACTCGAATTCTTAACTAGTCGGGTTCAAACATTGAAAGCTTCCGCTTGTTTACAACTTTAGTTGGAAGATAGTGATAAAGCTGACATTGCCGATGCTAATAGGAGAGGTGGCGAAAGAACAATGTAGAGTTCATCCTAAGTCATTTGAATTTTACGGGTGAAGTGGTAATGTCGATAAGGCAATTTTTTTTATCATTTTTTAAATTTTTTTTATATAATTTATATTGTACTCCATCGGTTATTCAAATTTATTTTCACTTTCCTTTTGGTTCTCATTCAAATTTATTTTTGTTTCTTTTTTAAGTAAAAAAATATAACTTTTTTTTAAAAAAAAAAAGTAAAAATTTATATTCTTATATATTTTTCTTAAAACTTGTGTCTGGTCAAATAAGCACACAATTGGATGACGGAGGAAATAATATTTTTTTCTAACTATTTCATTTTAAAATTATTTTTTTTTCAAATAAATTAATGTAAATTTACCGACGAAATATTTCTTTATTTTTATTTAAAATTTATTTTTCTATATTAGATTCAATATACTTTTTTTTTTTTCAAATTTTCCTAAATCTTATTATATCTATCATTTAAAATTATGTCCATATTATTCTTTTTATAATAAAAAAATAAAAAAAAATTATTAAAACGAAAAACAAAAATACTACATAACAATCAGAAAATATATATATATATATATAAATTTATATAATTAAAAAAGTATTATTTAATTAGAGTTCAAGCCTCACTAGAATATTGAATAATTTACTAATAATTTACAAATTGGAGAAACATTCTTTATATAAATTTAGTCCTCCGTCCCACATAATTTGTCCTTATTTTTTATTTTCGTCCGTCCCACATAACTTGTTCTTTTTATTTTTGAAAATATAATTATGCACTTTAATCGCATTTTAAATTTTAAATTTTTTAATTTTTTAATTTTAATTAAACTATTTATTTATTTTAATCTTAATCTATAATTATTTTTACTAAATAATAATTATTTTTACTAATACACTTTTAATTATTTGATAATTATACTTTACCTAAATTCATATGTGTCTATAGTAATACACTCATATTACATAAAACGGAGGGAGTACAATATAAATCGTGAAAGTGATTTGATTTAACATTAAAATCTAAGTTCTAAAATAATCAAATACTCCTTTACAATCTTTTACACAATTTTAATATTTAAAAGAAAATAAATAATACTAATGTATATAAAAAAAATCATAAGACTCTATTTCAACTCTTTCTATAATAGTTATTGTAATGTGTACAACTTTAATTGGAAGATAGCAACAAAATTGACCTTGAATTTGGAGCTCCTCTTGAGGCCAGTGGAATTTGGTGGGTGAAAGGCATTTTTTTTTTTTTAATCATTTTTAAAAAATATTTCTTTATAAAATATATATTGTAATATTTTTTTCTAACTATTTTATTTTAACATTACGAAATATTTACTTATTTTTATTTAAAATTTATTTTTCTATATTATATTCAATACTTTTCTTTTCTTTTCTTTTCAAAGAAAAAAAAAAAAATACTATTCCCTCCGTCCAAAAGAAGTGTCTTGAATTAAGGAATAATAGTATTTAATTAAAAGTGGGTATAAAGTAGAATGTAAATAACTAAAATACCCTTGCTTTTTGAAGGATTTTAAAGAGTACGTTAGAATAATAATTAGGGATAGCATGAAAAAGTACGAATAATTTTGTTATAAAGTAGAGACCACGACTACTAAATAATGAAACAAGACAATTATTTTGGAACGGACGAAAATGGAAAAATAAGACAAATCTTTTGAAACGGAATGAGTACATAACAATCGGAAAAAACAAAAAAAAAATGAATATATAAATTTACATAACTAAAAAAATATTATTTAAATAGAGTTCAAGTCTAAAATATTGAATAATTCATAATAATTTACAAATTTGAGAAACATTCATTTATATACAGATTTAGTACAATATATACCGTGAAAATGGACTTGATTTAACATTTAATATCTAAGTTCTAGAATAATCAAATACTTCTCTACAATCTTTTACACAATTTTAATATTTAAAAGAAAATAAATAATAATGTATAAAAAGAAATCATAAAATTCTATTTAAATTCTTTCTATAATACTTATTGTGATTTGTAGATTTATATTATATTATTATAAATAATACGATGTAGATTTATTTGTTATATTATATAATTATTTAAATATAGATTTTTTTATATATATATTATACTTAAATATCAATTTTATATTAAAAAAATTATATTAATAAGTATTTATATTGTATTATATAATTATCCCAATTTAAACTTTTTACTATTCATATATCATTTTATAAAACCCAAATAATGTACTTATTTTTATACATTTTTATAGTCTAATAATATATTAATAATATTTATTATATTTTAATTTCATGATATTAATTTATATAAATTGTGATAATGTTAGTATAATTTTTATTTTTATCACTTTGAAATATTAAAATTATTCGAATTTGTGAGATTAATATCATTTAAAATTTTAAATGATTTGAAATAAATTTTTATGCATCGTCGAAAGAATTTTTGTTTCCGACGGTTTGGTTCAAGAACAAGCCGAAGAGATTATTGTTTTCATGGTCATTTTGTTGAAATAAAATTTGAAATTTTAGACAAATATAAATGTTAAAATATGTAGAACAAGTTGAAATTGGATGTAAAAATATATAAAGAAATACTACGATTTAAAAATATGTAGATAAGCATGATTATTTTAAATGAATTTGAATTGAATTGTATTGGTATAAATAAATTAGTGATAAATTAAAATTTTTTTAAATTTTAAATTTTAAATATTAATTAGTTAATATTTTTAGCATTTTTATTGGAGATAATTAATTTTTAAAAAAATAATATGTGCATTGTAAACATGTTTATTTTTTTAAAAAAAATAATTATAAGGTATTGAGAAATATGACCTAACATATGATCTAATAACTACTATTAAGAACTTTTTAAAATTGTCGTTCAATTTAGAAGAAAAAAAAAAAAGAAAAAAACTTCATCTAAAGGAAAAATTAAGAGTGTGTTTATTTTGTTAAATTTAAAATAATATTTTCCCTAAGCATTATTGAATAAGTATGAGAATTTAAAAATTAATATTCCCTCCATTTTATAACAAAGTATCCATTTTTTCATTTTAGTCCGTTTCATAACAAAGTATCCATTTTTTTTTAGTAACTGTACTATTTACCTAACATTACAAATACCCTTACAACTTACAATATATTACACAAATATCATTACCTTTATATCACACATACTAATAAGATTATTTTAGTCATTTTTATTTTATTTATACTATATCCCAATATAATACTAATATTTCTAAAACTATATCAAAAAAGTATTTACTTTTAGGACGAAAAGAGTAATAATTTAATATAAACATAAATGAGGTAAAAAATGAACTATAGTATTATAAAAAATCTATTAAAGAATAAATAAAAAAATTAATAAATAATTTAAAAAATAGAAATTTTTTTATTATTTATTAAATATAAAATAATAAAATGATAAATAACCGTGCATTAGGGACATAAAAAAATAAAATAAAATAAAAATCACTAATGTGTGCTCTTCTTACAGTTTGGATTTTGGGTTTATGAATTAAATTATATGAATTAGAATAATTATATAATATGATATAAATGAGTGTGAATACCATATTTTGAATATAAAGTAACTTTTAATAAAAATGCATAAAAATACAGTTTTATTTATTGCGTGAAACCTTCATATATTAATGTTAAATTTTCATGAAATACCTTCATCGTTAAAAGTTGATGTTTGTTTTAAATAAATACTTAAATTAAATAAGTTTTATACAAATAAAAATATTTAAAATATTTTTTTTAATAAAATAACTAAATAAATAAATAATTGATCAATCATTTATTTTTACTGTAGTCCATTTATAAAAATTATATAACAATTTATCTCAAAACTATAAAATAAAATATTATTTATTTATTTATTTTATTAAAAAAACTTATTTAAGATGCGTAATTTAGGTAAGAATCAAACATCAATTTTAAATCAGACGACGTTTCGTGCAAATTTTATATTAACACAAACAAGTTTCACGCACTAAATAAAATTTGTACATTTTTACTAAAACACGCGAGTTGTTATATAATTTACCCTATAAAAAATAAATGATAAATTATATAACACTCCATTGTGTTTTAGTAAAAATGCACAAAACACTTTATTACGTGAAATTCCTTTTGTTAATATAAAATTTGCACAAAATATTCTTTAATTGTTCAAAACTGACGTTCGATTCTAAATAAAAACCTAAATTACACAAATTTTATATAAAAAAAAAATTATAAAATACATATTAATATGATATTTGATTGTAAATTGATTTTTTAATATAATATAGAAAATAAAATATTTTAAAAATATTTAGAAAAACAGAACTTACACACATTTTAACACTTTCTTTTTTAAAAATACAAAAAATTCATACGTCAAAAAGGCTACAGAACACATTAATTAAAAAATCACCACAAAAAAAAAATCCTAATTCTGAATAATCGGCATCAAAATTCAGCAGACAGCAAAGCCCTCCGAGCATTGATCACCGCCGGCGACCCTTTCCTCGCCTTCTCCACAATCTGCCTTATCAGCATCTTCTCCATCTCATCTTCCTCCCCACTGCTACACTGCTCAATTGCCGCCGCCGCCGCCGTCGTCGCCGTCGGCAATTCCTCTTCTGAATTCCGGCGCATTTCCGCCCCCCGACCCCCACCGGAAAACGGACACATCTCTTCCTCATCCTCGTACGCGTCGTTGTATGCAGCCGGAGTTCCCCGCGAGAGGTTGATGATGACGGGCTGATCAAAATCGCGGGACGCAGCCGCGATTTCGTGCTCGGACGAATGGGTGCGGTCAGATTCCGGGGAACACTCGAGCTTCTTGTGACGGCTGTGCTCGAGCGCCGCCTCGAGCTCCCGCACGCGCTCTTCGAGCCTCGACTGGATGACTTCGTGTAAGCGGAGACTTAGCTCCCTAGGAGAGACGGGATATTGGTCGTACCGTGGCGTCGAACGGTTGCTCCCGTCTCTATCAGCGTAAACTTGGGCACCAACTTTTACCCCGAATAAGTCGGCTCGAAACTCGCCCTCGATAACATTGGATACGAAATTCGGATCGAGCTGTAATGTAAGAGAGTAGATAGTCAATAGAAGAAATGTTCGGCGAAAATCGATACCAATTTTCACACCATGCAATCTACGGTAAAATATTCTTTTTTCTAGCTAAGAAACATTACATCCAACACCTATTTTTCGTTAAAAAAATTCAAATTCAACTTCAAAACGCCTTCGAAACACAAACGAACAACCCGAGCGCTATTTCTCTCGACAAATGTAATGCACGAAAGAATGACTTAAATCTTTATGATTCCTTGTAAAAATAATACTCCCTCCATCCCAATTCAAAGTACTCTTTCTACCATTTCCGTTTGTCCCACTTCAAAATATCTTTCATATTTTAGAAAAAATAACCATACACTAATATAAAAAAATCCTTAATTTTTACTTAAATTACAAAGATACAATTGCTTTATACATAAAGTCAAATAACAAAAATATAAAAAATTCTTACACACTAATAAAATACTATTATTTTTTTAATATACTACAAAATTTCAAAATGCCACTTCGATTTGGGACGGAGAGAGTAACTTTTCTGGCAAAGCGTCACATCCGAACCACTATTCAAAAAAAATGTATCGACCCTCAAATCTACACACAACATACACAAGATTCAACTACTTTCGTAAGTCATTTATCCACAATCAAATTATTTATGTATCAAATATATCGACCCTCAAATTTACACATAAAATCTCAATCGACGAAAATTACGTATGTATGTATATATATATATAGCCGCAAAGTACTATCACAACTATTCACATGAACCCTATTTTCACACATTGAAAACAACCATATACGTAATATCGGCCATATAAATTATGCTAAATAATCTCCCATTGAATCCTTCAGAGACTTAGGTAACTCAAATTCGTAAATTTTTGGCCAAACTAGTCGTCAAATCAGATGCATGAAATCAGAAACATAAAATTTTCGACTCAATTCGAAACAGGTTACCGGATCACACGTCTTGTAGAAAAGCAAGCATAAAAATCGTACCTTTGCTAAACTGGACATTTGCCCTTTAAACCGAGAGGAATTCATGTTCGTTTCCAACATATCCAGTTCGGCTTCAAGCTCTGCTTCAATTTTCCGCAACGATTCTTCATCAGCAACTTTATCGGCATTGCAATTCCTCGAAGAATTGTCCTGTTTTTCTTCGAGTGATGAAGCTGGTTGCCCGGCGTCGTCAACGTGAGAATCGTTCTGCGCATTTGGTGATTCATGATCCTCGACCGCAAGCTCCTTCACTGTTAATGCATCTTTCATCTCGAGCTCCTCGTGCAAGTCCTGGATGAGGCTCTCGGTCTGCGCCAATGATTTCTTTAACTTTTCGATTTCCCATTTGCTCCCCCAGAATGAATATAAGATGCCCATAGTCAATCCAACGTAGAATTGGAGAGTACCGTCGGATAATCCTGACAAATCAAAAAAAGTCGTTGGCTTAAATCTAAAAGAGAATATAAACCCTGCAGCATCAAAATGTAACCACTAAAATCCTGAATGAAATTGAAAATTTTCCAACTAAAATACAAAGTTGAAACAATTATCTCAATTATCACATAAGACATTGATGTGCAAAATATCTTCGAACATTTCTATCTAAATTCGACAATGTAATACAACCGGAAAACTGGAAAATAATAAATCATAAAAATATCGTACACAACACATGCCAAAAGTCAAAAAGATTAATGCAGATGCCCAAACACAACAATCAATGTAAATTATTCGATCGAATATTGACAATCGAGCACCCGCACAAACGCGAACACTTTCTTCCTACATAAGCACTCACTACAAAAATACTATTACAAAGTCCCGTTCTTTGAAACAAAATATATTTTTTCATTTCACAAAATATCATATCAAATATCAGTAAATCAAGAGCTAAAACTTCCAAACCTAATCCCGACTGAAAAAAAAACACACCCTCAGCATTCTTTTCTTACACGGAGTGAAGGGTTCGATCATAAATTCTGATACGGCACCATATGTCAAAGTCCATTGTGAGCACTCCTCGGAATCAACAATTTTCTTACCAATTACTATAAACTAGGTTACTACCACTGTATATTTGCCAATGATATTCGTCAAACAAGCTAAGACATCAATTAAAAAATTTAGCCACACTTTTAGTTCAACAACCAAACAACATATTTTCCTAGTATAATTAAGAACCAGCACATCTAGTTCGAAGCAAAAACATAAAAAAATAAACACTTTGAACGATAAATCCGGAAACAGAATTCATAGTATAGTACCGTACCATCTTGTTCATTACTTCGATTTCCAGTCGCCAATTTCACATTTCGTCTCTCCATCAAAACCTGCTCAGTTCCGACTTTAGCTTTACCTCTCTGCGACAACTTCACGGGAGGCAATTTTGGAATGCCAACGACTAATTCATCCCCTTCAGGACATGTATCATTACAAACTTCAGGTTTGATCGTTTCTCGTGTCATACTACAAGACTCACAAGGCATTCTTCGAATTACTTTACTTCCATCACTCACACAAAATGGATTCGAAATTGGTTTCTCCGGAGGATGAACCGAGCAAATGCATTCCTCAAATTTGGCATATTCTCTATAAAACTGAGCCATCACACAGCTTTCGAGCGAATTTCGCGGCTTCATGAATTTACTCCTAATTCCTCCAAATTTCCGGCTACTTCTACCCCGTTTAAACCCGTAATAAAATCCAACATCTCTTGATGAAGATTGAGTTGCCGTATCTCCTGTAAGAACCTCGCCAGCGTCGAAAGCCACTCTGTCCTCCCAATCCCCTTTGTCACTATCCTCGACATTACGTCCCTTTGAAGAATTCGGATCATAAACCACACCTCGGAACATTGAATCAACAACCATTGCCATACTGTCCCTTTCAGCTCCACTATTCGAAGCATCATTACACGACAGTTTTTTATGCCCCTCGACACTTTCTTGCGCAGCCATTGCAGCTCTGGAGGAATCAAAAAGATCAAAGCTACACTTCTTGCCAGAAACCGAGCACGAATTACTTTTATTAAATCGAAGATTCTTCAATTTCTGAGCTACATATCCGGCGCCGGCGGCAGCAGCAAAAACCCAAACATCCATTTCTAGTAGTACAATGAACCAAAATTCAATCCCAAATAAAAAGGGTGTAATCTTTCTTCGATGATTATCATCAGCATCCAAAACCCCTAAAATCCAAAACCCTAAAAATCCTCACATTACCAAATCTTAAGAACGAACTGATGAAACCAAAATTAAAGTCAACCCCACCCCCAATTCGCCATCCGAATCAGATTCGTATACATATCTCGTCAACAACACTAACTATTTAACCATTCCAGAAACCAAAACCAGCTACGACGAAACAAGCTGCCCCCAAATTCCACCAAATCAATTGAAAACCCTAATTATTTATCCCCAAATGCTCGGTAGCATTCAAATGCAGATTAATCTCACAAAAACCAGACAAAATCGCAAAGCATTAACAACAGAATTCCATAATTTTAATCTCCAAGACAAGCTCGTTTACCAGTGATTCCCGCAATGCTATTCCCGACAAGAAGCACAAAATGGAAACTAAAATTCCAACGCCGGCAACACCCACCGCCGCCAGTTGCTTATCTTCTTCAGAAACTTTCAATCGAAATCGAAAGCAGAGAAAAAGCACATCAAGGAGACGAAAAGAGATCATTTTTCATGGTTTTTCCACCAAAAGCTACCGAACAAGAGAGGCGTGGACCGTGATTCTGACGAAGCGGAGAAAGGAAAACGAAAAGGCTTGGGCTCGAACGACAGCTTTGTACAGAGCGGAGGGTTTATTATATATAGAAAGAACAACAATGAGAAGAAAAGGACGTTTGCCTTTGTATTAGGTGACGAGGTGAGCGGTCGAACTCGACGAGCCTGGCAAGTGAACGTGAACGTGATGTCAATTAAGAGGGCTATCCTTTTTTAAATAAATAAATATAAATATTAGTACGTTTTCGTACAACTAATGAAATTAAATTAAATTAATAATAGTAGTGATAAATAAAATTGTAAAAGATAGAGAAAAGGAAATTCAACAAATAAATTTTGTTTTTTTTTTAATTTGATAAAAATAGAGAATTTTAAAATATTACAAGAGAAAATGTCATATGAATCCGTCATAAGCATATAATATAATACTCCCTCCGGTCCATGGAATAGATGTATTGCTGCATACACAAGAATTTAAATAAAATATAATTAATAAGTAATTAAAAAGTGTATTAGTAAAAATAATTATTATTTAGTAAAAATAATTATAGATTAAGATTAAAATAAATAAATAGTTTAATTAAAATTAAGAAAATTATAAAATTTAAAATGCGATTAAAGTGCATAATTATTATTTTTATTTTTATCGACATACATAATTTGTCTTTTTTTTTATAAAATATAATTATATATTTTAATCACATTTTAAAATTCATAATTTATATATTTTATTGTAATTAAACCTTTTAGTCATCTTAATTTTAATCTAAAATTATTTTTATGAAATTATAATTATTTTTATTAAATCAGTAATACACTTCCTAATTACTCACTAATTATACGATACTTAAAACTCTCCGTGCCTAATCTAAATGGGACAAATTGGTCAGGACGCAAGGAGTATTAAATAATGTGCTATATACTTTCTCCATCTCAATTCAAAGTATTTTTTTTTACTATTTTCGTACGTCTTATTTCAAAGTATTTCTTTATTATTTTAATAAAAGAAAAATAGTCATAGATTAATATCAAAATACCTTTAGCTTTTACTTAAATTACAAATAAATCATTACACATATAATTACTTTATACATCAATTTAAATAGCAAAAATATCAAAAACTCTTATATACTTCCACCACTGACTAATAAAATAATATTACTTTTTAATCTACTAAAAAACCCCAAATGACTTCTTTGATTTGAGATGGGGAGTATTATATTAATATTTGCTATTTTCTTTATAGAAATTTGCGACTCAAATTACTATTATACTGAAATCAGAATACATGTTGCTAAAATCAAAATATATTTTATTATATATAATGTTGAGAAATGATTTATCGAACAAAACACCTTCAAACACTTCAAATAGTCAACTCCCGAAGTGTGGACAGGTCATAGTCAAAACACATCTTGACAACAAAATATAATGCATAACTGAAAACAACAAATGAGACAACATATTTATTGACCCAGGAGAAATTCCACTAATCAAAACTGATTATAAAATATAAATAATCACAACTTCTTCAACCAAAAATGATTTAATGTTTTATCTTGGAAATTACCTCAACAGGTTCACGTTGTCACAAACGCGTAGTGACAACGACCATATAGCAGAGCAGCTCAGAGCTTGATCGTCTTATCCGATTGGTACTCCATTAACTCCGATCACCGTCGACATATCCGGTAGGTTTCAGTATAAAACACTCATTCAGAATGAGAAGAATCGAAATGGGTGGAGAATGAGAGCTTCACAATTTTTTTTTTCTCTCTAAAGCATGCTCTCAAACTCAGTTACAACCAACTTTTTGTTTCAATGGTTATATATCACATGCAACATTGGTTGGAATAAACAAATTTCACATTAATTTTTTTTAGTACATAAATGACATGGGGTGTCCTTCAATGAATCTGTACATTTTGACCATCCCAAAATATCATCTTTGTGTCTTGTAAGCATTTAATGAATAGGACAAATGAATAAAGATAAACTCATAAAGTTGACTGTTGTAACGTTACAGTGACAGGCTTTCTGCAACTGCTGTTTATTAAAAATGAAATGATTTACTCCAGCATGAAGAAGACATATTCGCTTATATGTCAAAAATAATTGGGAGACTTTTTATTTACATATAATTATATAATGTATTATTCAAGTGTGTTTTGGTATAAAGAATAAAATTATAGAAAAATAATTAGGATGCATTTGGTATATAGAATAAAATTATAAATAAATAATGACAAAGAATAAAAATTATAGAGAAAAAATTTAATAAATAATAAAAAATTATTTATTTTCTTTGATAAGCAAAGTAAAGAGAGATATCATATGAATCGATTCGGAAAAAATGATGTATTGGAAAAATGATTTGATAAAAAGGAGACGGTGAATTAATGGAATAAGAGATGTTTCAAAAAATAACTATTGATATATTTAGTTAGTGAGTTTTATTATTATATATATATATTTTTTTTTTAATTCGAATAGTAATTTAAATGCTATATTTTATAAAATAGTTTATATTATAAAAATTCAATAGGAAAAAAATTGTAAAATATACAAACTTTTAATTTTCAATTATCCATATTTTTCTGTACATAAAAAGATAAATGAAATTGTCCTGCAAGGAATGTTCTACTGGTATGAGATTGGATTTATGACCATGAGGTAATGAGTTCAAACTCTCGACTTTTCGTCTGGTCTAGTTTGCAGGATATTAGGTTCGGCGGGCGGGTTCCCACATAAAAAAGTAAAAAAGACTGAGAATATATATAATTTTCAAATTCTAATTTTACAAATAAGGAAAATAGGTACAATTTTATTTATCTATCATCATTTTCTTGTATCGAACATTTTTTTTAAAAAGAAAAAAGAAAAAAAATAAAAAGAAAAGTGGTGATGAAGAAGATGCATGGTAGATTGAGGTAGTTGGAATGTTGCTTTCATTTTGGGCATGTTTGTTTAGATTTTGAATTTTGGATTTTAGTTATGAACTTGTAAATCTTTTAATTTGAATAGTTATTCAATATGATACAAATATTGATTTGATGTATTAAGGGTGTGTTTGTTTGGAGGTTTGGATTTTGAGTTGGGATTTGAATAGTAAAAAATTTGAATTTGAATAGTTGTATGATGTGATATAAATAGGTGTTGGTGTGATATTTTGAATGTAAAATTGATTTTTAGTATAATATAAAAAATGAAAAATAGATATTTGATTTGATATTTTTGGAGAGAAAAAATCGGATGAATAGTGGATTGGAAATCCAATTCCCCAAACAAACATATAAAAATTATTATTATTATGTTAATTTGATAGTGTGAGTGAAATTTTCATAAATAGTAAAAAAATAAATGAGTGATAGTAAGTAATAAATTAACCAAATAGGTTTTGAGAACAGACAATTATTATATGTTGATGTTTTCAATAAGAATGTATTTTCTTCAAAGTATAATATAAGTTGTTTTAAAATTCTCACATAATACTATAAGAAAAAATCATTTTTTAACAAAACGTTTTTGTCTCTAATGAAATAAGATATTCTTGAACATCAAGCTAGATCAAATTTTGGTTAAAGAGTTGTCTAATGAATATAAATTTTAGATTACCTTTGACCAAGAACATGCTAAAAAATTCTTATTGAACATTCAATTTTATTCATTTAGAGATTAAATTAATAACTTTATATTTAAAATTATATATTCCTTGTACTATAGTTAATTTAAATTATAAGAAAAGCTTGGTTAATTAATAATAATTGTATCAATTTACAAGTTAAACCAAGTTTAAAATTGAGCTCAAATAAAAAGGATATATACACATTTTAGAAGAATGATCGGAAAAAAAACTAACAAAAACCGTTAATGAGTTGAGTGCAAACATGAAAATTTAGTTTGGCTCGTTAACCACTTTAGTTTTGTCTATCTATTATATGCGATATTTTTAGCACGATGCACCGAAACTGTCATCGTATATATACGTATATATAGAGAGATAGAATAGAATCTAAATTACTTTTGCAATTATATATTTATTACAAGTCGTTTTAAGGATATTACCGCATTCTAAAGAACAAACAAGAACAACAATAATCGCAAGATTATATGACTCGAAGTTGAGCTATAAGAAGAAACAATCTAGGCGAAGCTCAAATGCTTCTTATTCAATACCTATTACATTATTATATCGAAACATTATTCCATCCATATTTTCTCCGATCAACGAACAATCCTGCAACGACAAACAATTCTAATAAGTATACATTCCTCGACGCATAAATATTTTCGATACACTTCTCTATTAATTTAATATTTTATTGTAAAATAGTCTCTCCGTCCGCCAAATTATTTACTATCATTTTTCTTTTTAATATGTCCGTTAAATTTACCTAATTATTAATTTTGACATAGTCAACAAATAAACATTTAACTATTATCATTCATTCAATCATTATTTACAACAAATGTCACTATTTTTATTACCTTGTCTCTCATCATTTTCTTTAATTTCCAACTATATTTTTAAAAATACATTCAACTACATTTTTACTTTTATCATTTTTTCATAAAAATATTTATTTTCATTAATCTCTGCTCCGGATCCAAATGTTCTAAATTTACCAGACAGAGAGAGTCGGTCTTTTATAAATTTACACTAAACCAACGAATAATCAATCTCATTAATAACCAAAAACAAGTTCTCATAGCCATCAACACAACCAGACAAAGGTTATTCGACGCCAAAAATGTAAAGAGTTGCATATCAGTAAATTTTACCTGGAACAATCAATATTCGGTGAAAGTTCGAAAGGAATGTTGATCCCACATTTTTTCGGGATATCTTTTATATGGTTAGACTTAGCTCGGTTAAACCTAGCAAGAGGCTTAAGGCACCTACAAGCAACTCGAGATTTGTATGTAGTCTTAGTTTCATCGTTTAGGGCTCGAGCTCCGGCACAACAAGCACGTGGTGGCATTGGACCGCCTAAACGGAGGTAGCCGAGGCACGGAGATAGATGGCGCGCAATGGTTAAGCATGTAAACGGGGCGGCGTCGCCGAGAGGAAAGATTGCAACCAAGAAAATGAAGAAGAGAATCATTAACTTATGTTTTGATGAAGAAGCCATGGTTGAGGATGTTTAGGGTAGTGTCATTTCATGTCTTTTTATAGAGTTTTGAGAGTGAGATAGGACATTGTAATAAAGGAGTGATCATGGCTTGGTAGTAAATGATAGTACTTAGGTTCGAGGATAGGGATGGCAATGCTACCGATAGAGTTGTAAAATGAAGAAATTGTTTTGCTGGTTTGGTTCGACTCGTTTGAACTTTTTCGTTAATCTAAACGAGTTGTAAGCATAATAAAAATTAAACTTTGAATAATAACCAAACAATCAATGATTTTAAAGAATTTTTACTATTTTTTTAAAATGCTTCATTCCTCTAAAATGTCAAATAAAACACTATTATTATTGTTATTGTTGTGTTTGTTATGTCATCTGAGCAACAAAAAAAAAAAAAAACTCAATTTTGCCACTATTTTTGACATACCATTAATATTTATTTTTTAACAATAATTTTTTAAAAAAATATATTACATTATAATTTTATTTTATGTAAGATATTGTATCTTATTTGAAATTTTTTCTTTTTTTTTAAAAAAAAAAAGTAATTCAAGATACAATTAAACAAAGACTTATACGAAAAAGTCGTTTAATAAAGTTTCAATTTAAAGACAAAGTTAATTAGTACAAACATCGTCAAATCACCTTAGCTATTCACCCTATAGGCTATATGTACTTTGTCGAAATGTGTTCACTAAATGATATTCCGTTGTAAATAGGACTTAAGGATGCGACTTTTTCCGATTAATAATTCAAATTACTAATAAGCAATTATCATTCGAGTTTCTATCACTACAAAAAAATGATAAATTTGTAACGGAATTCCGTCCCTAAAGTTCACGTAGCTAACGTAATTCCATTTCTATTTTCGTCTCTGATGTCATTAGTAACGGAAAAAATAGATTTAGAGACAAAAACGTTTTGTTACAAAAATGAATTTTTCTTGTAGTGTATTTGATTTCATTCTCAAATTTCAAACAATAACGGGTTTGTTTGAAGTGGGTTTGGGAATTGATATGAAATTTGTGAACATTATGATTTTAAAATAAAATGTATTTTATATATGATTTACATATATGTTTTACATATATGTTTGATGTAATATACGGAATAAAAAGTCATATTCAATGTATATGAAAAACAAATAATATTTTCGTCTCATAAAATCAGTATCATTGGTCTCTTGCGTAATTGTACTTAATATTAAGAATATCCTGTATAATTTATTCTGCAAATATAATTGTATTTGTAAAAGACTAAAAGTAATTTTGTCTCTTTGATTTGTAATACGTATTGATATAATAATTAATATTAAAATATTAACACGCAAAAAAATTTATGATATAATTATTATGGGAATGAGGTAGTATTTAATTTGGAATATTTGGTTTGTATTTTATGGTAAAACATTAGCCGAATGTATTGTTTTATGAGATAATATGATTCGTTTTTATAAAATAATCGTATGGATTGTATAATAAAAAAAACTTGAAGTAAAAAATCTTAGAGAAAACCGGGCCTTAGGTTCTCATTCTCCATTAATTTTCTTTTACATATATTTGTTCTTCATAATTATTTTGCGAATCTCCTCGGTTTATTGTTTTATATGATAAGGGAAAAAATCCGATCATATACATGAATAGGTATTTACGAGAATATGTGAATTTCATTTGTATAGTTCCAAGAATTATCGCAATCTTATTTAAAACTCATATGTATAACTTGTTTAGTATTAAGTTCAATGCACACTATATACGTTCAAAATAAATGTGGTTGGCTTGAACTGGGCGTAAAAATATAACAATAAGATGAAAATAAACAAACTAATAATCCCGTTCGACCATAAATACATTTGGGGGCGGGAGGTTTTTAACTCGGTCCTATTTTCATTATAAAATATGTTCAAGTACAATCTTATACAAGACTCAAAGGCTCCAAACGCTACTCGCACAAAACGGGACATAATACACGGGGAGCAAAAATTTATTAATTAAATATTAATATATAAATCGTCTAAATAAATTCAGAATTTTGCGATTCCCCCAAATAAGGCCAAATATCACAATATAATTACAAAATATGTAAATATATATTCCAAATATACATCGCAATATAAACTTTAATTTTTCCTTGTCTCCAAATTCGAATAGGAGAAATTCCAACTCATATTTCTATTGCGAGTCACTCAATTTTAAATATAAAAGCCTTATTTGCAACCCCAAACACAAATGTATTTCAGTAAAATATAATTTTCATACGTATATTTAATTATCACTTTTGTTCTACAATTTTGAATCACTATAATTTGGTCGTGCACGTTTCATTTATTTGTGATTTTAGTCATATAAACACACTTTAAACATGCAACAAAGTTAAAATCACAAAAGAATGTAATATGTACAAGAACAACTTACAAAGATTCAAATTTTTGATATAACTGTGATGATCAGGTGCATATATATATATATATATATAACAATGATTACAAATATTCTCCGCTAGAGAGAGAGAGAGATACCTTAAGAATCCGATCTATGGTCTTTGGATCTTTACAACTAAAAGCATCCGATATATGTTGTTTGGCGGAAAGCATGTGAACCACACAAATTTGAAGGTTCGCATTGCCTATGTAGAATGTTCCACTATTGTTCTTCCCATCTCTTTCATGCTAACTCGATAACATTAGGACAACAATTTCTCAACTCAATCAAACACAAAGTATCGATGGATCTAACTTCTACACAAATATGGTGTGACATTCGGCTAAAAAATTACTTTTCGCACTATTCATCTACAGTAATATATTTAAAAAATAACATCAAATGCCTATTTCTAGTGTGTATGTTTTGCAAATTTCTTAGATTTCTACTAATTCACTACATTTTCCCTCCAAAAACATCAAATCAAATACCTATTTTTTATTTTTTATATTATACTAAAAATTAATTTTATATTCAAAACATCACATCACATATTTATATCACCTAATACAACTATTCCAATTCAAAATTTTTACTATTCAAATCTCAACTCAAAATCCAAACCCCCAAACAAACATACAGGAACACATCAATTACTCAATTCCAAAAATTTCCAAAACTCGTAGACTACTAAAAACTCATATATATACAAAAACTCATATATATACAGAGCCTACGCATTCTAGTACTTCTATTTGAGCGTTCGATCCTCTCATATAATTTCTAGCCTTACAATCCTACAGCAACTTCAATCCTGATAATATGAACCAAACTAAACTCAAGAAACTACAAATGGGTCGTTCGAAAATGCTTCAATGATACAACAGCCTTGACAGTTATATAATTCAAATAAAATGGATTAGAACTGATCTTCACTTTCCTATACATCAGCAACAAATTCTTTCAAGAGATTAATCATATATCTTCTCATCAAAATTCGTAAGTCAGCATACTTAACATTAACAAACGACGTACCTAAGTATGTGTAGAGCTTCTCTGAAATGAACAATAGGCCTTACTTAGTACAAAGGATCTCTGATCTTCTCTATGTTACTACATGCTCGCGCAACGGCAATGCATGTGATTTATCAGGAAATCTTCTGCAAAGAAGACTCCTTTTTGTCTAATGATATGCGAGTCGCTCTATCATGTTCTCTCAGAAATTCTACAGCCATGAAAGTGAGCGCTGAAGCTGGAACATACCACATAATTCTGGGGACGGCCCCTTTAAACATCCCCGGAATGCCTTCCCCCAACCATATCTTAGAAAGAGCATCGATCCATCCATTGTACCTAGAGAGACATTTCAGCATCAGTACTGATGATTTGCAAGGAAGAAAAAGGAGTCATGGAAATTATTGAGAAGATATAGCTGTTCGACAGCGAATAAACAGTGCACTGAACTTGCCCATTGCAGTAGCTTTTCTGTTACTAAATGTGAAATTAAACGACAACATTTCAAACACATAACTGACTGAAACAGGATCAGACACAATAAAAAAAAAAAAATCGACATGCTTTTCAATTAATATTACTAAAACATACAACATATACATATACTTACGCAAAATATATAATATATTAATACTCTATCAACTCACAAAAAATCAACAATCGAACACCAAATATTATTTTTTATATTACCGAAACGCTCCTTATGCCTCACGGAAAAAACACCTCAAACTTAAAACAAAAAACAATGTTTTGGCTCCAAACCAAATCAATACTAATTCGCTCGTATAGTTTCCAATAAAAATATGTTATTTCATTTTATAACATATCACGTCAAACTACACTTTAGGACAAAACTCAAATAAAAAATTCAAACTCAAACAAAAATCAAACACATTGCTGTCTTTGAATTATCGGGTATTAACTGATTGATGGTGCTTGAGCAAAAAATAAATTCCGTTTAAAATGAAAATCAAACAATCTTAGATACCTAGTGGCTGTCCCTTGTACTTGCAATCTGGTTTTGACAACATCCAAAGGAGTGGTGAGATAAGCACTCAAACCTGGGATATTTAAAGATTCTCAGCACATTAATTCGGGGAAATATCATCGACTCAAACTGAAAACAGCTCCATAGTTTGGAAGTATATACATACCACCGGCTAATCCTCCTAATAAAAGCCCCTCAACTGAACTATTTACATGAAAATCTGAACTGGGAAATAACTTTTGTTTGCCATATTCCGTCGTCTTCTTAAAAGCTTCATAGAAAGTGACCTGAAAGACCAAAAAGACGCATAAAGAGCATGACATGAATGTAAAAGACTGTTTATATGTACAAGATTTAACTAAAATCCACACAATAATATTGGTGGAAAACACAATTCTCATTCCACATTTGGTGGAAGAAAAATTATTTTAAATATTTGAGGAAATGCATTTACAAAAGTTTTATACCATAAGGCCAGCAAATGGCACATCCCTTGCAAGTGTAGACCAGTATCTGCAACAAGGTACCAAAATGCAGTCAATAATCAAGCATTAACAAATCAACCAAATTTTCAAATGAGGTATAACAAAATTGAGCTCAACTAACTTGCACAAATTAATAAAACTGAAAAGAAAAATTGGCAACACAGTATATTATTAAACCTAGCCTTTCATAACATATATTTTGATCACATCAAGATATTGTTTGCTGCCTAATTTATTGCACACAATTGGTTCTTTAAAAATTTTCTTACAAGCTCCATCGTAATGCCAGAATGCAGTAAAAAGGCGAAAGCTTCTTTACTACCATACCTTCTAAATACTTATGAAGATGATCTTTGACATATATCATCTAGCAATAATTTATTTATTTATTCATTATTATGTTCTTTTTCTTTTTCTTCGTAAAAGTGGAACAAAGTACATTATTAGAAGCTCAGACAATAAAACAATTGGTCATACCCTGCATATAGTCCCTTAAGCCCTTGTTCCTTCCATATTGAACATCCAGCCTGAAGCATTCCCGAATAATATCCATACATGTTCACACCATGCCCTGCACCTAAACCATCTTTGGCCACAATAGATGCCCAGTACTTCTTAGAGCCCTGAACCTGCATTCGTTGCTTCATCACTTCACAAGGAACATATATGAAGGAACCGAGTGTATCTCCTGAACCACATTCAGAAAACAGGCACTAAAATGAGTCATTAGAGATAAGACCACATTCACAGTTGCTACAAATTTTTTTGAAGAAATGACCTATCGCTCCAGAAATGAAATGTGCCCAGTGACCACCCAGGTTGGGATGCGACTCTTCCAACCATTTCTTTGTCGATTCTATCACCCCAAAATATGTGGCTCCAGTAGAAAGAGACCCCACAATTCCTGGCGTTATTCCTCTGTAAAAGCCTATCAAACAATTACCATCTCAACTCAAGTATACAAAATAACAAATATTACTTCTAATACTGTGAAAAGAACTGATCTACATTAGTATCATGATATAGTGATTGCATCAATAGGAACAAATTAGTCAATTTAAACTCATAAATCAGTCATTTTGGGGACATTAAAATTAGCAAAAGGAAAATTGTAGTATGAGACACATAACTATGACAGATGGTCTGTCATCGGATTTTTGTCAATCTTAACTGAAACGAACAAATATAAAGCTAATATCACTAAATCTCAATTCATTACTCATCAGCATAAAACAGAAATGGACACTTATGTCACCAAATAAAAGTAAAACTTTGTTTATTACTGTGTTTGGAATTTTCATTGGAATCCAAAGTTTATTACGATTAGAATTCTTCCATTTGTCTTTGCAGAATTATATTAGATACAACTCATACAAGTTGTTTAGAAATAGAAGTTTCTTTGGGATAGAAGTTTATACATGGTAAGGGTGGAGGAATAGATGAAATGGGATTTAAAGGTGAAGAAGAGCCTCTGATCATATAATTTTCAGAGAGTTTACAGTGTCCGCATTATAGTTACAGTTTCCATCGTTAGTCTTATTGCATGTTTCGTGTTATTTTTGTCTATCCTTGTATTTAAAAAAAACTACAGCAAATGGATCTTAGTTATGGCATTTTCCGGACAAACGATTTCAATGCCAATGTTGAAGAACTTGACTGCATTGGAGAATTAGATAGTATCAGCACATGGATTGATATCAAAAAGGTCGAAAGGTGAAATTTGATCATAACATGGGAACACCAAAAAAGTTGCTATTAGAGTAAGCCATCTGCTGTGTACCTATTTTTCAATGGAATATGCAAATAGAAGAGATGACATAGGAAAATTCTGGAAATGGAATCGAGAAAAAAGTGGAATGGTAACAAAAATGTAAATGGCATGCCAAGTATGATTTTTCTAAAGGTGGAGCCAACAGGGACAAGATCTACTCGGGCGAGATTTGAGGAACTTGGCAAGTTGTAAGTGAGAAACAACACGATAAAGATGCTGCAGGAAGTAGAACAGCAAGGATATGGAGCTTTGGCAATCGCATGCACATTTAAAAAAGCTCAAAGAAGTGATGCAAGAAAATTGACAAAATAGAATCTCTCAAATGCTTCGGAGAAGCTGAAACCAACTACAACAAATTCAACTGTTTACTTTTTATCAACAGTTCCCTTTTCAAAAAACATTATAGTTGTGTTTATTTGGAGCTTTTTACAATATTTTTACTATTCATGAAAAAAATTTCCCTCCAAAAAATCAAATCAAACACTAATTTTTTTTATTTCTTATATTATATTAAAAATCAATTTTACGTTAAAGCATCATGTCAACGCCATATCACATCACATAACTATTAAAATTCAAAATTTTACTATTCAAAACTCAATCCACCAAACAAGCACAATATGTTCGTAACCTAATTTTCATTTAAAATGTTAATTAAAAACTATCAAAACATCACATCCACCGCCTATTTATCTCATATCAAATGCTTGTTTTCTATTCAACTTTTTCCTACTCTCAAAACTAACACAAGACTCAAAAATACTTCCAAATCATATCAAATTGTAAGAAACTTGTCGAATTTGAGAAAGCAAAAAAAAATTGATTTGTTTGGGGGTTTGGGTAAGGATATTCACCATTCCATAATTTTATCACCAAAAACATCAAATCAAATACCTATGTTTTTATCTTTTACTATATTGTATAAAAATTCTATTTTATATTCTAAACATCACGCCAATACCTATTTATATCATATATCAAACAACTATTTAAATTTAAATTTTTTATTTATTCCCTTTCAAAATCAGCCGCAGTCTTCTAAAGCATAAGATGGCATGGACGAACTTCTCACTTCATCAAAATGTGTAAAAGATTATAGCTGCACTTAAAAGCCAAGTACTCTACCGATGAGTTAGCAACCCAGGGGGGTGTTCCAAATGAATTCGAAAATGAGTAGATGAAAATGCGAGAATGGGGATATATACATATATATATATATACAGAACTCAAAAAATATCCAAAAACCAAAATCAAAACTCAAACCCCCAAGCAAACACACCCATCACTATTCTCCCAACATTATGCATTCCAGCAGAAAATCGACTTGAGGAAATTATCAAGTATCAAAATAGAATAAGAAATAACATGAGAAACAAACAAAGATCGCTCACCACCCAAACCATCCGTAGCCCAAACAGCTCGAACCAACTGCAACACGTTCTTCTGATTCTAAAAAAAAATAATAATAAAATGCAACAGTTTTACTAACAAGAACGAAAAGCAAACCAATTCTGAAAGTAATCAACTCGAAATCGTCTCAATCAAGTTTCTAAAAATTCGAAAAAATTACTTTGCATCCACTGAAAATAGCTTGGCTTTGGATGCGCGTTTTAACAGTATCGACAGGATGTATCATCCCCTCGCCGAAAGCGCCGGCGATCGCGCCCCATAAGAACTCCCTCCACACTGCCAAATAAGAAAGCAACGAAGGATGACACGTAATCAAGCGCCATTGCAATGTTTCAAAGTAATAAACCCATCAAAATGGGCGATCTTCCATGTTAAAGAATTCCCATTCAGTCGAATGAGCTCTACCTATCGGATGATTCTGGTCTGAGATGCCGACAGACAACGATTTCGCGGATCTGCGGGGAGTAGAGCCGTCTACAGCCATGAATGTGTGGATGGTTGAAGCTTGATCAGGGTTTAGGGTTTTAGAGCTTGGGACTCGATCGGCCAGAATTTGGGAGAATGGCGGGGGTTTTCAGATCCGAATAGGATCCGGCTATCGACATCTGCCGGGTCAGACTCTTTTTTCAAATATGGGTAGTGTTGAAAAATGAAAAAGATATGCAAAATTACCTACGTACATTGCTTACGAAGGTATGTTTCGTTTGCCCAAAATCCTATATTTTTATTATTTGAATTCTGTCTTCGAAAAAAAAAAATAATTTTTTCTGTTACAAAACATTTTATCATATATTAATTTAATATCAAAATCAAATCAATTATTTTTAAAACTTATCTAAAGAAATATACCTTAAGCCTTTTTCGATCAATAATTCTCTTTCAATATTATTAAAAACACAGCAGCTACAGTGCTATTAGCAAATTATGTTACCCCAAACATACATACTTTAATATAATACAAATATAACATATAATTTAACACCACAAAATATAATTTCACACGATATATAATAATGTGTGTACATGATATACTCACATACAACATATACTATAATTATAAATTAATACATACATATTTTTTATTACAAAATGTACTCGTAATACTTCTTCCGTCCCATAACAAAGTATCCATTTCTTTTTTTAGTAACTGTACTATCTACCTAACGTTACAAATACTCTTACAATTTACAATATATTACACATTTACAATATATTACACAAATACTATTATCTTATATCACATATACTAACAAGGTTATTTTAATCATTTCTACTTTATTCCTATTATAATAATAATATTTTTAAAATTACTTGTAAAAAGTAAATGAATATAAACAATTTTCAACCTACCGACACCCATATTTATAGCAGATCTAAAAGAACAAATTATACTACACACAATTGGGCTTTCCACTATAACAGTACTTAAATAAACAGGCCCACTATCCCTACGACGTCGTCTCAGTAGACTACAAAGTTCAGCTCCACAGCACACAGCGTCTCCGCAATCACCATTTCCGAACAGGTCAAGAACGAGGGGAAACCCTAATCAGAGAAGCAGAAATCTGTTAGATCGAATCGATTTGGAGTCACGATGGCCATGGCTGCACTGAGACGCGAGGGCAGGCGGATCGCCTCCCCATTCGCTACTTCTCATGTCATCAATCCCATTCGTTCATCTCTTGTTAGCTCCGAGTAAGATAGATCTTTATGTTTACATTATTGATTACTGATATTTGGTGGTTTCTCTCCAATTTCTTTGATCGCGCTTCGATTTTATCTCACCGGTCGTCGGGTTATCATTAATTTTGGCTTATTGAGGTGCTTTTTTATTTTTCTGTAAAATGTCGAATTTTATTTTGTAATGGGGGAATGCCGCGATTTTTGTAGGATAATGTACATGATTTTTGTTCAATTAATGGTTTCTTACTCCTGGCTATTGTTGGGAAACCATCAATCGCCTTGACATTACTCATTTCTTTTAGTTTTGATTTCTGAGTGATGGAATAATTGTGAAAATGAATAGTAAAATTGGGTTAGTCTGTAGATTGACAGGCTTTAATTTGATTAATTGTATGATTTAGTGATTGAATTTTTAGTTATGTAAAAATGATTTTGAGAAGATCTTGGTGTTTAAGATTTCTGTTGTTTTGTACATGTGTGTGTCGCCTGCATCACCTGCTCTTGCATTTGCTACCTATATTTCTTTTGTTTATATTTGTGGAAAATTTGCAAAGAAGCAGCGGCTTGACCGGTAAATAGAGTTTCCTTCTAAGATTTCAGAAGTTGGGAAACTGATGGAGATGTAAAATGCTATAGTTGAGCGTGTCGAACGTAGCTTCTGGTCATCAATTGGTCTGAGCATGACATAAAAAACCTTATTTTATGTTCTTTATTTCAAAAAGATATGTGCTTGTTGTTAATTAAATGATTGTTTACCTTTATTCTATGAACCGAAATGCATGATTTTAGTCTATTCTTATATTAATATTTTGGATGAAGCTAGCTATTACTAGTTGCAGCAGAAAAGAAACACATCTTCTCCGTCAATGTGTGAAAAAAAAAAATTATTTGCTTTTTTGTTTCTTACTACTCGCTTGAAATAAAGGACCGCCGTATCTCAACTTGAAAAACGTAAGAAATGCACCAAACACCATAAAGAAATAGGAGTGAAAGAAAGCAATGATGATACTTTGCATAACTTCAGTTATCTGCATGTAATTAGATATAATATGGTGACATGTCAATTTCTATTGATTTATTTATTTTAGTCACTCATTCCTGCCGAAGACTGTGATGAACAAATTTACTAACTATACCTGTAGAGTTTCACTTGTCATCCTCTAACTAATCAATCTATGCCAACAGGGATAATGCCCTCACAGGAGTTCGCTCTATTTCAACTCAAGCTGGTAAAGATGTCTCATTGGATTTATTACGGCTTTCCTTTGAAATCTTTCTTTGGTTGATCATTTTTTGTTTATCTTTTACTTTGGTTCGCATTTGCACTTCCATTGACGGGTACAATGATACTGCCTGTGTCTAGTCCGCAACCGTATGAAGAGTGTTAAAAATATTCAGAAAATCACTAAGGCCATGAAGATGGTTGCTGCTTCGAAGCTTCGAGCCATCCAATCAAAAGCTGAAAATTCTCGTGGACTCTGGCAGCCATTCACTGCTCTTCTTGGTGACTTTCCAAGTAAGTTGACTGTAACGTTAATAATGTCGATCATAAATTTCCCAGCAGCCTGATATCATACATTATATGTTTCTTTCCTTTACTTCTTCATGATCTTTCCTCAACTTCAGTCCACGGAAGCCTTATTTTAACTGAGCTATTTATTTATTTTTCGTTCGCGCTCTGTCAGATGTGACCAATTAAATCTTTGATGATACTCGCATATTGACCTTTCTATTAAGCTAGAAGATAACCTCATCTCAAGCTTCCGGGTCAAGGTTTTTTATTGTTTGATATCTATCATTTACTTGATAGTCTCACGTTAAATTTCTACGGTCATAAGCTTTCATGTCACCTATGCCAATGGACAGTAAACTTAAAGCTAGTATAGGTATGGCTGTGATTAGAATGGTTGCTAGTTACTGTTGCGTCAATTTGACTAGGGTTTAATATGTTTCTAAATTGATCGGTGTTCTTTTAATCTTCTTTCTTTGTTATTATCGATGCTTTTTGGAACATCTTTATGATTATTGAATAAAAAGTTTGACCCTTCAGACATGTATGTTGATACATGCAGGTGTTGATGTCAAGAAGAATGTGATTGTTACTGTTTCTTCGGATAAAGGTCTTTGTGGCGGAATTAACTCCACAGTTGTCAAGATCAGCAGGGGCCTTCATAAGTTGAATTCCGGTGAATACAATTCGGAATTGCCTTTATCTCTGAGCTGCTGTTCCTTTTCTCTTATGTCATTCTGTTGGCATATTATTGCCAATTCATTTTACAGGCCCTGATAAGGAGTGTAAATATGCAATTCTGGGAGAGAAGGCGAGGGCCCAACTTATTCGAGACTCTAAGAAAGACATTGAGTTAACAATGACAGAGTTGCAGAAGAATCCATTGAACTATACACAGGTTATTTCCTGGTCCGCTCATTGCCAAATGATTTCGAACTTTTCCATCTCCCAAGCATTGGTTCCCGCAAAGTTGTGGCTAGATTCTTTTATCCTCTAAATTTTTGTTTGACACCTTTGTTATCAAGTACAGATTTGGAGTAGTATCATAGCTGAAGTTTGTAGATGCTTGCGTATCTTTCCTTCGGCTTTATTTGCTCCTTTCTCTCTATCCTGAATTTCTAGCCTTTTTTCCTTTTATGTTCTTATATTGATCTATGTTGCTATCATCATCATCATCTGTATCTATATGTTGTGCTGTTCAACTCTTTATTTTATGTTAAAAGGACATCCGTTTAAACTATTGACCTCTAACTCAAAGGTGCAACTATTGCTTGATGTTCTAATCTAAGTTCTGTACCTTCATTTAAAGAATTAGCTTTACTCATTAAATCATCCGGAAAATTTTCTATCCTAATTCAGGCTTTATTAAAACCTTACTGCATCTAGATTCTTTGTTTGATTTGCTACCGAATGAGAATAGTAGTCTTGCAGCAGGTTGGTCTCGGCGTCTCTCTACTGCATAATCTCTAAAACCCGTTAGATGTAATATACATGTTAATTCTTTCAGAGAGATATTTCTCTCGAGAATGTTCTCTCCTTGTGTATTATCCTCAATTTCCATTACATTGCAGGTTGCGGTGCTTGCTGATGACATCCTAAGGAACGTAGAGTTTGATGCATTAAGGGTTGTTTACAATAAATTCCACTCAGTCGTGTCATTTCTGCCAACAACCTCTACTGTACTATCTCCCGAGGTCATTGTCTGCCAAAGATAAATTTACAAATGTGATTCCAATAGCATGAGCTACATCCGGTGCATAATGTAATTAAGTGTCATTCTGATTCAGATTGTTGAGAGGGAAGCTGAAGCTGGGGGGAAACTCGGGGAACTTGACTTGTATGAGATTGAAGGTGGAGAATCAAAGTCTGAAGTCCTTCAAAACCTCGCTGAGTTCCAGTTTTCTTGTGTAAGTTTTTTCTTTTGATGATTACATATTATATTCCTAATGATAAATCAGATCTTATGAATATGGGGAAAATACAATTTTTTGGTCGCACTTATTATCATTTTGGTCCTGTAAATGGCACTTGACCTTTTAATGGACCTTATCTGAAAATGGTCTTGTTTTAGTCGATGTCGCTCTAATAGTTCTAATTATGCTTGTGACACTTACGTGTGCATTATGGACCCTCGTGTAACTTTTTATGGCCACACGAGTCCCGTGCAATTTTAGGACCATTAGAGCGACACCGAGCTAGATACAAGATTATTTTTAAAAATGTTATTTAGGTTGAGTTTAGATACTTTTGGAAGTGTTTTGAAGTTTTTGAGAGATTTATTTTTTAAAATAAATATTTGATGTAATGTAATTAAGTATTGGATGTGATGTTTTGTAGAGAACATAGAGTTTAATGTAATATTTTAACTAAATTATAGATATTTGATACGATATTGTTGATGTCTTGATGAGGAGGGCGCCAAAAGCAATTTTAAAACATATGTAAACAGAGCCTTGAAAAATCAAAATGACGTATTACCACTTACAGGACTCAAATTATATTCTCCTCCGCGAATGATTATTCTCTCAAACTTCGACGCAAATGTTTTTAATCTTTTTCTTCAGGTTTTGTTCAATGCCGTGTTAGAAAACGCTTGCAGCGAACAAGGTGCTAGAATGTCTGCCATGGACAGCTCCAGCAGGAATGCCGGAGACATGCTTGACCGTCTCACGCTCACTTATAACAGGTTTCATTCTTTTATCACATTTATTTCAACTTGACCAAATACATGCCCAATCTTTATCATATTAATATCAGGCGAACCAAACCTACTTCAAATTTTACCACAAAAATAAAAAATAAAAAAAAATAAAAATGAAGGGTGTTTTTGTTTAAGGGTTTTTAAATTTAAATAGTTGTTTGATGTTATATAATGTTTTGAATATAAAAATAGGTGTTCGGTGTGATGCTTTTGGGAGAAAAGAATTAATTGAATAGCAAAAAATCTTAAAATACCACAAACTAAATGATTTTCATCTTTCAATTCTTTTTTTTTTGGTCATCAGAACTCGTCAAGCTTCCATCACTACTGAATTGATTGAGATTATTTCTGGAGCATCGGCACTGGAGGGCTAACTGAACCAGGTTCCTTCATCTCTCTGTTTTTACCTCTTAAGAAAGTTGATGAAATAAATACAGCGCAGTTTCCGGAAACACCTTACTTTCGAGCCTTTTGTCTGATTTAAGAATAATATTTTCTCGGCTGATCTTGGGCGACGAAAACAGCACTATTGTGCACAATATGTCTTATAATCCTGTTTCAACTCTCCCTTGTTCGGACATGAAAATTGCTCGTTTTGGGACTATTTTCGTAGATTTTGGTACAATTTTATCGAGACCGGATTATGTCTTTACGCTTGCGAAAATGCCAGGCTTCTTGATTTATGTTATGTACGGATATGCCGATCAAGGGTGTTTAACTTGTGTTTTTAATCTCTAAGATTTGTTCTTTTGGCCATTTTTTTGGTTACTATGCAATTCTCATGCTCGAACTTTGAATTTTGATAGATTTTCGGTTTGTAAAAATCAAAACCAAAACCAAAACCGAATCAAAATTTTTAAAACCAAACTAAACCGAAATTTTTGAAATTTTCATAATGATGTTAGAGCTCATTCGTTCAATTTATTTTTCATCTCCAAGCAGTTTCATCTATTCTCACTTGCATATTTCAAACAATTTACAAATGACTCAAATGTTGAAATATAAATTTTTTAAAATTAAAATTATAATATTTATATATTTATAATATAAAATTTATTTTATTTACAATTGGATTTTTTGGGTTTGAATATTAAAAATCATAACCGAAACGAAATTTAAAGTTATAAATTCGATTTTAGATAGAAACAGATCAAATTAATCTGTCCAAATTGAAAAAAAAAAAATCAATTTTTTGGGTTTAGAACAAATGTTCATCCCTAAAAAAATACATTATCATTTATAAAATATCATATCAAATTACATGCTAAATAAAATCGCATAAGACCAAATTTAGCATTTGTAGATTAGGATTTTTGTTCCAAGGCATGTAAAAATGTAAAAGTATTATAGTGAATCATATTTTTTGTATTTTTGTTTTATTTTTTATTGGTATATGCATATATTTTATATTTTATATTCTTTTTAAGATAATGATTTATGGTAATTGTGTCACTTTGAAACACTAAAGCTTTATATATATATATATATAGGTTTTTTACAAGATTTTTATTATTAATTTATTTGTATATGATACTTTAAAATCAATTTTATATTTAAAATATTATATCAATATCTATTTATACAATTATTAAAATTAAAAAAATTTATTAGGTGGAAATCCGAATATAAAAATCAAATTTCCAAACAAACACACCCTACGCCAATACCCACAATAAGTGCTCGTGTATTTAAATGAAAAGTAGGTCATATCTCAGTGTATTTATTAGCATGTGAGAAAAACCATATCCCAATACAATAGTGTTAAGTTTACCATTTTATCCTTTTCAAAATAATAATTTTGGTTACATAAATAACCATATCACCATAAAATTACTCCTATTTTTTATTTTTGTTATATAATTGCCACTACCTTTTACACTAATACACTCACAAGAGCAAAAAGATCTTCTATCCATATTTTTTACCAACTACTAATATAATATCAATATTTCTTAAATTTCATATATTTTAGATATTCAGTTTTAGATTTAGTAGATTTATATCTAGATTTGATCTTATTCATAAATTAGATTACTTAGATTTGAGTCTATCGAATATGTTTTGTACTGTCTATACGTAGGCTCTTTATTTTGACGATGAACAAAACAATTTAATTATTTTCCCCCAAAATTTTCAACAAAAACTATATTTATGGGAGAAAGATGGGTATTATTAAAAGCATATTCTATACAATTTAAGGCATCTCCGACCAATGCTATTAATGGTGGTGAGTTGGTGGATTTAGTGTTGGTTGGAATTCCGCGTCATTTTTACTGTTGTGTAAAAAAATAGAGTTGCTCATTTTTTTATTATTTTTTTAAATTATTGTAAATTATAAATATAAAAACTGTTTAAAATCATATCCAATTGAATGTGACACATGACCAACAAATCATATCTTGATCAATTTTTTATTTCAATCATACATATATATATATATATATAATGGTGACAAATAGATCATATCTTGATCAATTTTCAATTTGAATTATAATATATATATATATGTATATAACATGGTGTGTTTGAATTTTGGTTTTATTGTTGAGGATAATAATGTTGTTCGATTGTAAATTAAATTATACTCCCTCCGTCCCAAATACTGTGCAACATTTGTGTTTAGCACGAAAATTTAGGTGGAGAGTATTAAGTACGATAATTTGAAATAATTTGGATATTAAGTGATGTGATTGAAGAGATAAATGATTATTTGGTTTTTTTTGTATTTGAGTGATGTGATGAGATAAAGTGAAGTGTATATTAATATATGTATAAAAATATTACTCCCTCCGTCCCAAACAATGTGCAACATTTGCTTTTGGCACGAGTTTTTAGGTGGGTAGTATTAAGTAGGATAATTTAGAAATTAGGTGATGTGATAGAGAGATAAATATATTTTTTATTTTTTTATTTGAATGATGCGATGGGATAAAGTGTGAGGTAGACATTAAGTATAATTAATTATTTCCTAGTTTGAAAATGTTGCAGGGTGTTTGGGACCTACCAAAAAAGAAATGTTGCGGGATGTTTAGGACGGATGGAGTATTAATTATTTCTAAATTTAGAAATGTTGCAGTGAGTTTGGGACAAACAAATAAAAGAAATGTTGCAGGGTGTTTGGGACGGATGGAGTAATATACTCTCTCCATCCCAATACAATAGTCTTGTTTACTATTTTTGTCCGTCTCAAAACAATAGTCTCATTTTCATAAATAACCATATCACCGTAAAACTATCCTTATTTTTTCATTATTATTACACAATTGTCACTATTTTTTATACTAATATACTCACAAGAGCAAAAAAGTTATTTATCCTTACTTTTTACCAACTATCCATATAATATCAATATTCCTTAAATTTCGTATTCAATCCAATAGGACTGTACTTTTGAAACGGAGAGAGTAATATTTTATTTATTTGTCAAATTTATTTTCATTTTCTTCTATCAATGTTAAATTTATTTTATTACCAATTTTAGTAAATTCAAAATACTAATTTTTAACTATTATCAAATATTTGTTTATAACAAACACTATTATCTTATTATTATACATTATTTATATTATTTCTCTTTATTCTCTTTAAAAATTAAGAAAATATTTTCAATTATTTTATATATTTTTAATATTCGTACCAATCCAAAATAGACTAAAATTGCTTAACGGAATTAGTATATATTTGATCAAAGATATCTATAAAGCATTTTTAAATATATTAAAAATTATATTTTAATAAAATATATTCAACGTAAAATGTTATTTTATAGTATATAAAAATTAATATAAATAAATAAGTATTATATATACATAATTAATAAGAATTAATTTATAAAAATTTTGGATTGTGTTTATTCTGTGAAATATTTTGAATTGATATATATATTTTTTGTGTGTGGAGATAATATAAAAATAATGAATGTCGGCATTTAGGGGAAATATGTGTGAGGTTTTCATTAAAAGAACACACTTTTGTTTTGTAAAATTGTTTGAAAGAATGTCTTTTTATATAAGGTATATAGAATTTTGTAGATAATATAAAAATAATAAATATATATAATATATTAATTTTTTGGGGATATATATACATATTTTACAAAAGAAATAAAATGTAAAAATATGTTTATTTATAAGGATAGAAAAGTTTCATTTTTCAAAAAAATGTTAGGGAAATAATTGAGACGAAAAAACTTTGGAGCATAATGTCAACTTAATACAACCATAGTTTTTTTTTATATCACACCTCATCCATCCCGACTTAAAGTATCTATTTACTTCTCTTTTTTTTTAATAGATTAATATAATATATTTTATTAGTTAGTAAAAATATGTACGATAATCTTAATATTTTTTTTCCTTACAAGTACAAAGAAACTAAATATTTTATAAAAGTTATAAGTATTTTGATATTTATATATGAACTACTTTTAATATAATAAAAAATTGATATTTTTTAATGAGACAGACGAAAATAGTAAAAATAATACATTGAATTGAACAGAGAGAATATATATTTTCATCATTCTCTCTATAGATATTTATTTGATTTTTGTAGAGTAAATATTACTCTCTTTGTCCCAAACGAAAGGAGCCATTTGAAATTTTGTAATAGATTAAGAAATAATAGTATTTTATTGGTTAACAAAAGTGTATAAGAGATTTTGACATTTTTTGTTCTTCGACTTTTTGTATAAAGTAATTGTATATGTAATGATATATTTATAATTTAAGTAAAAATTAAAGGGTATTCCACTATTAGTGCATTATTACTTTTTCTAAATTAGAAAATAGATACTTAAGGAGTGAGACAAATGAGAATGTTAAAAATATATTTTGAGTTGGGACGGAGGGAGTATATTTCAATAATAGCTGATGATACTTTTGATATGTAAAAAATATTTTGTCCTTCATATATAGATTAATATAATTATATAAACATAAATATTTATAAAGGGTTTGTTTTTTTTTTTCGAAAACTCCATGTTTCTACTATTTTGATTTTATATTTTTAAAAAAAATATATTTTTTTCTTTCACAAAATATTTTATCATATATTATTTTAATATCAAATTCAAATCAAATTTTTTTCAAACCCATCAAAAATAACATATAAAATATTTGTATGCGGTTGTAAAATTTAACATACTAAAACAAAACCTTTTACGTCTTTAGACGATAAAAAATAGCAAAATATTTTAGGTTCTATGTTGTATATTTGCGGCTTCCTTTTCTTCTATACAAACAAAATTATTCACAATATATAGTTTTTGGATTTTGCGAAATTTTTTTTTTTTTTTATGACATGAAAATTCACAACTTCTATACTCTGAGTGCATTCTGAATATATTTTTAGTCGAATCTAATAACTTACAAATTTATACAACAAAATAGTTTGCAAGCTATATCATTGTATAATAGTGGCTGTGATATTTTATAAGAAAAAATAATATATTTTAATTAATTATTTTTATTTTAATCGATAAGCAAACAAACCCTAAATTTGATCAATAAACCCAATGGAATAAAACATTTGAAAAAATAATTTTGTTAGTAGTGTCTCGACAAAATTTTAATATAACTTAAGTTCAGGTGATGGACGTATTTCAAAACTATAAAGTGTATTTTTCACTGAATTTTTATTACAATTTCTTCCTTTTTTTTTTTTGTGATCGTTCGGTATTTATTTAGATAACAAAAAGCATTAGATAGGTGGCGCGTCTCAATTATCCTAATTCATGC